CAGAAATACACATGAGCAATAAAGATAACTTTTTAGTTTAATTCCTTATTTCCCTACTTTTTCACCTAATACCTATTAACATCCTATTCAGTGGAAGACAATTTGGGAAATTCAAGTTTATAATACTGTGCTTAAATTTAAGGCTTAAGTCTTATTACACTTCTTACCAATCTAAAAGGAAATTCTGTCTTGAACATTGTGCCTTGGGCATCAAATGTTATATTGAGTATAATTTACTTTAAAATATTTTACCAAAGACAGTGTGACAAATATGTATTTTAAATGGTTTTAACCACCTAGGAGTAGTTAAAAAACACTTCAAGTATCTAACCCGGGGATGGTTATTTCGCCTTTGAAAAATTGGTCAGTCCACAAATCCAGAAGTGGCTACCAAAAGCCTTTCAAATATCAGCTCTCCCAGCAGATATTAGCATTGGAAACCAACATAAAGGAGATGTAAGTGGAGTTCAAGCTATGTGTCTTGGCTAAAAATATTGTAAAGCTCCTCCACATTGGGGCTCAGGACTCTAGCTGGGCCAGTAACCTGTTCTCATTGCAGTGGCATTCTTGGCCCAAGGCTAAAATTCAGTCCTTGTTCCAGGTACTTAGTCATCAGTTGATTCTACCACCTGATTTCATCCAATCTGAAGGTTAGCTGAATCTTGTCACCCATCATCACATCTGAATTGAGTGTTTCTGCCAGTTGGAAGACTGTGGATTCCAGTCCCATCTGAGGTGTGTGGTTTCACACCTACCTACTCACTACATCTTCCTCACACTCAAATTTGCTTTTTTTCCCCCTGCAGATCATGGCCCTTAACTTCCAAGAAGGAAATATGTGTCCCCAGAGGTGACTTTCTTCTCCACCTTGCCACAAACCTGCACCAAGAATTCAGGCAGAAGGTGTGGCAGGGTAGATGAGATGCCTGCATGAATCAGCAGCTTTGCTCTCAGGAGCCTCAGTTTTCCTGAACTTGGAAAATGGGGTTATTGATCTCTCCTCACTTCTGTGCAGCTCCCCCAGAGAGCTGCTGGGACACAGACTGGGACAGACAGTCTGCTGTCTGGTGGCAGCAGGGTTGGGTCCACTTGCCCCAGTACAGCCACCCTGGCCCACCCATAGCCCTTCTCCTTCAAGGATGAAAGCTCCCTTCCAAGCACCCTCCTCCTCTTCCTCTGCGCTTTGCGTTAAAATTCCCTATTGTTTGCCTCCTGAAGTCAAACGCCTCTTCTCTAGCTCAAAGTTATTCTAATTGGTTTCTGGCTGTGCTTGGTCCTCGTTGCTATGAGCAGGGGCTACTCTCCAGGTGTGGTGCCTGGGCTTCTCCTGTTGTGGAGCATGGATTCTAGGGGGAGTGGGCTCAATAGTTACGGCTCATGGGTTTAGCTGCCCCCTGGCGTGTGGAACGTTCCTGAATCAGGGATCGAACCCATGTCCCTTGCATTGGCAAGCGAATTCCTTACCATTGGACCACCAGGGAAGTCCCAAAAAGTTATTTTGAGAGCTGACTTTCTAAGCAAGTTTGCTAGGTCTTAAAAAGTTTTCAGATGGTTTTATACACTACATCCTGGTAGAGTATTCAGTTAACTAATGAACTATTCATTCACATGTGAAAATGAACACTTGCCTTTTGCCTTTCACAAACATCCAATTATCAGATGTGTCCTTTCCTGCCATTAAGTACACAGTAATTCAAATAGGTAAGGGGCTGAGGAGAACTGCTAACAAGTTTTAGGAAAGTTGATGTCAGTCAAAACTTAAAAATCAAAACAAAAACATGGGGAGGCAAGGCAAGGACAGATGACACAGGACACCCAAACCTTTATCCTGAGGTGAGAAACACCAAATATGATTGACCCTAAGCAAAATCATGAAATAGATCAAGCTTTCTTTCCTTCAGCATCCTATCCTTTCCTCCTTCTCTCCCCAATTTCTGCCCCTCCCAGCAGCTCGCCACACATCCTCCCTTCTAGACACTGCTCTGTGTTCCATTCCAAGTATCACTGCCCTTATAGCCTGCTTGAGAAATCTTACGTTTTAAAGACTGATGAGGGTGTGCTATCGGGGTACCTACATGCATTTGCATTTTTTGAATATTTTGCATTTTACTTTTTAATTGAAGGGTAATTGCCTTACAATATTGTGTTGATTTTTGCCATACAACTACACAGATCAGCCATAGGTATACATACGCCCCCTCCTTCTTGAACCTCCCTCCCACCTCCCATCCTATCTTCAGCCCTCTAGGTTGTTTTAATGGGAGTGTTTTGGAACTCCGGCCAAAGAGTCTAAATCTTTAATGGAACAATTTCACTTGATTTGAGCTGCACAAGCCTCAAAATACTCAACACTCTAATTCCTATCAGGAGGTACTTCCTTAGCCATGTGATGGACAGACCCTGTGCCCCCCCACCCCTGCTCCTACAATGCCCCACTGCAAAGCTTCAAGTGCCTTGCCGGTCACAAGAGCTCTGGTCTACCAGATGTCTCGTATTTTTAACAGTCAGAATGACTTTCTCTTTGTTGAGTGATTTTGGCTCATCCTTAAGCCCAGTTCTCTTATCTCCCTTCCACAATGTCTTTCCACATTCCTGTCTTCCCCACATCCATCCGTTCTACAAAGACTTGCCACAGATTCTCAAGATAGGCAGCTGGAATTGAAGGCTAAAATTTCAGATTATGTGCAGATAGTCTGAAGTTAGTATTCTGTTTAGTTATGCTAAAAGCACAGGGTAGGCATGGTTTCATCTGCTCTTGTTGATTTGTATACTTCATTTGGAGAATGAGTGCAAAGATTTAGATTCAGGCAGACATCACAGGGTTTCCTAGGTGGCTCGGTGGTTAAAAATCTGCCTGCCAATGCAGGAGTCGCAAGAGACACTGGCTTGACGGCTGGGTCGGGAAGATACCCTGGAGGAGGAAATAGCAACTCATTTCAGTATTCTTGCCTGGACATGAGGCGCTTGGTGGAATATAGTCCATGGGGCTGCAAAGAGTCAGACATGATGGAGCATGTTTGCACACAGGTGCACACATATGTATATACACACACAAACACACACCATTATCCTCAGTCACCAGGAAGGAAGCAAACTCTCTGGTTTTGTCGGACAATATCTGTTTCACTTCCCTTCTTGACAGGTATCCTTATCGTTTAGAATTCAGGCTTAGCAGTTAGTAGGGTATCTTCAAAGGACTGAAAGGAACTATCTTCTGGCTTTCATTATTTTTGTTCAGAAGTCTGCTATCAGTTGAATTACTGCTACCATTCGCTCATGTAAGTCTTGTCTTCTGTATTCAGGACTCCTCTTGCCTTTAAATTCCAGCAGTTTCACTACGATGCATCTGGATACAGGTTCCTTTTTATTTATGTTGTCTGGGATTTACTGAACTACTTGAATCTGTTGTCTGGGATTTACTGAACTACTTGAATCTGTAACTTGTCCATCTCGGAAAATTCTCAAATGCTTCTGCCCTATCTTCTCCCCTTTCTCAGACTCCAAATAAAGATATAAGACTTTCTTACAGAATCCAGTAGGTTTCTTATCTTTTGGGGGTCTACTTTCCATCCTTTTCCTCTCCTTCCTTCAGTTTCAAATAGTTCTCCTGACCTATACTTCTTGTCTCAAGGTCAGTCAACTGTAGGCTCTGCTTCTCAGCTGCTTCTTCCTATGTGGGCAAACCTCCCAAGGCAAAGTAGGCCCAAGTCTCATCTCTCTAGACTTCTTTTCCTGGACTCTGGTCTTCTAATAACGAACTATATTGACAATGCTTTTTTTTAGTAGTAAAACATTTGCTTTGATTTCGTTCCGACATTTTGCTTTTCTTCAGCAGGAGAGCTAAATTACCTAGTCCTTTGTAACCAGCATCAGAATCTGCACTGTGGTTATTTACAACAGTGTCAATAAGCATAGATCTTCCTTTCTCCCAAGATATGAAAGGATTATCAAAGTTGTAACTGGTTATCAGACATGACACATATAAAGACAAAATTCATTTGCTCATTTTTATAACACAGCCACCAAGGACTGTAGGAACAAAGACTGTTCTTCACTTTTGGAAACAAAGGTAATGCTTTCTCAGGAAACTCATCTGCTACCTGCTATAATAATATGGTTGGCACTCCTTTTGAATAAAGAATATATTAAGTTCTCAGAATTTTTTTTAAAAAGGCATCTAATAAATCTATACAGTGAATAGCATGTCTTTATTCTATTTACAGTACATTTGTTATAAATATAATACATTTTTAAAAGCTTATTTTTAATTAACTTGAGTAGATTTATATTTTAAACAGATCAACTCAATTGTTAAAGTTACATAATAAAGAATATGATAATTTAAATGACAAAAATCTCATATTGTGAAATAGTGCACTCTATGCTGAGATGAATGAGGGGGGGAAGTCATACTCCTTTCAAAACTATATTCAAAGCATCAGAAAAAAATTTTTTTCTTTTTACAAAGTTATGTATAAGCCATAGGAACGACCAGATACTGAAGTATGAAGACTCATAACCAAAGTTCAAACTGATTTTAGAGAATTGTGTGAAGTAAGACAAGAAACTGTGTATTTAACACTCTATAGAACTTCACAGTAAAGCTGGAATTTATAGACTAATGGCTTAACAGGAGTATTGCCAACAAGGCCCTTTCTTCCTTCAAATCATCTCCTAATGTTCATATACCATCAGTAAGCTGTAACAGCAGACTTAGACACTGGTTTTAAGATGGGGCTTAATAAGGTGCATGTATATGCTGAAATTCTGTATTATGAGCGTGTAAATTATTACCAGGGTTTAAAGAAATACAAAAAAAAGAATTTAAGTATTCTCAGTCCAACGTGCTTTGCATCATCAACAAATAGACAAACCAAAAGTATTCTGCAGTGATCCAACACCAACCTCCCGAACAAGTTAGGCATTTCAAATACTGCTGTAAAACCCATTCAGTAAAATAAAACTGATTCCCGTGGATTTCAGTACAAATCTGTAAGTTGTCACACATTATTGATGATGATCAGGGCAGGCATGGAGCTCTGCTGACTTGTTTCAAACACCGTGACTTGGTCCGATAACTTGGCAAATACCCTAGGAGTTCCAAGGTTATAAACACCTGTGTGGACAAAGCATGCTTTCAGCTGCAAACTGTGAATCTCCTGGCTTTTAAGCTGAAGTTTATATTGTGTTTGTCCCAGCCATGTAAATGATCCATGGATTTCCAAAGCTTCTGGGCTAAGGGAGGAGGAAAAGGGTAAGTTGAAGGGTATTTTTTCTTCAGGAATTTTTTCCCAAAGCCCCAGTAACACATCCCTTTCATCCAGGAACTCTAATTCTAGAAATTATTTATGATGCCAACTGTTTGTTAATAATAACATCAACAGTAATAACTAATATTACTATTTCTATAATAACTAACATTTATTAACAGTTACTATGTTCTAGACTTAATGCTAAGAATGAATTATCTCATTTAACACTCACGACAGCAGCCAGTAAATAGGGAAGCTGATTTCAAACCCGAGCTTTTAACCACCTGGTTCTCCACACATAAAGATAAATGTATATATAAGAATGGTTATAATATTGAGACTCTTTTTAATATTGAAATATGGAAAGCAATCCAGTGTCTACCAATAAGACATTGGTTAATTAATTTATGATACACAAAACATGTTCGGATTTCAGAGAGCTGACCCAGATCCTGTTTGCAGTGTTATACTGTAATTAATAATCAGCATATGTTTCACACTGTTTTTCTATAGATTCCACATTTTCTGAATTCTGAAAAGCACCTAGCTCTTAAGAGTGCCGGTACAGACCTGCATTTTTTTTTTTTTGTTTTTTGCTGTTAAGCATTATTTTATAAATCAGAAAACAAGACAAAAAAAACTTCTATCATGAACTTACTGATTTTCAAGTTTAGAGTTCTTTATCACCAACAAGCTTTTATAAAATTGTCATCTCTGGCCAGAATTGCTGCTTTTGGAAACCACTTTTCATTTCTGACTACTGAAATGCTAAGACAAATCTCTGTAACTCTTGTCTAACACTTCTTTTTTTCTTATTTGGCTGTGCCAGGTCTTAGCTGCAGCACACAGGATCTTCAATCCTAGCTGTGGCATGTGGGATCTAGTTCCCTGACCAGGGACAGAACCTGGGATGCCTGCCTTGGGAGTGCAGAGTCGGCAAGTCCCTTTGCTAACACTTCTTAATACCAAACAAAAAAGGGCATGTCTGAGTAAACTCTGTCTATATTAGATAATTATTTGCATAATTTTGAAATATTAAACTACCTTCAACTCAATCTTTAACTACAAAACAAGCCTGCCCTAAATAAATCTTTACCTTGTTGTTTTATGCCGAAGATCAACTATTACATCGACGTCGGCCTTGGAACAATTGGAAAGTAAAAGGGTCACTGGTACTAAACAAAGGCTGTGGAAAAGAAAAACCAAAAAAGATTAATGGGGTATTGAAAACAAAAACAGTTTCTTGGAAATAAAACTTACAATTACCTAGCGGCATAAGATCTTCAAAAACAATTATATTCAAGTAAGGGAAAAAATTGAGTTCTAAAATCACTCAAGCCAAATGATTTACATAAATAAGAAGTAAAACATATTAATACAATGCTTGAATACTAAATATTAGAATATATAGATTCACAAAACCATTTTTATTTCCTTTTATTAAAGCTAATCTGTAAAAGTAACCAAAATGTTCCTAAGTGGTTATTTTCCAAAATGAAAAACAGAAGGAAACAACTGCAACTAAGAAAGATAAATGGAGGGGAGAAAAAATCGTGAAAATGCCAACAACTAATGCTGTTCTTTGCGTTTCTCAAAAATTACTTAACTTTGAGAACTTGGCCTAGACTGACATTTGCTATCCTATCAAATCTGCATAGAAGCCATCATGCTTGGGAAACTATGAGAATTATTTCTGTATAGCAAGCTATGAGAAAAGCCCTTTCAAGTAGACATATTTGCTCAGTTAACCTAGCTTCTGATCTCACTTTATGATCATAAGTCACTAAAACACAGGAAAAAGGACAGGGAGTGAGAGAAGAGGATCTAAGAACAGACTGGTGCAGAGTACATATTAAGAATGAATAAATGAACATTATCTATGCACAAATGAAGCCTGGTTACATACTATTATTTCAAATGTTTTACCCTATTAACATAAAGAACAATAGTAAAGAGATAGTTAAAAAAAAAATCTTATGAGCTCACACAATATTAAAATTCTGCTAATATATTTTATGCTCTCAGAAATTTTATATCCCCTTACTAAGAAACGCTTTCTAAACCACACTGCAAATAACAGATTTCCCTAGACAAAAAACTAAGATACTTTCAAAAACTCATCCTTAGATGATACTGGTGCTACACCCTTATCTCCCCCACAAACTTCTCACAGGAATGGAGGACAACCAAGACTAACGAACGGGGGTCCAGTCTAGAGCCCCTCATCAAGTTAGATTCCAGTCATGGAACTTGTAACCCAAAGCAAAACCTCAGGAACTCTAACAGTGTTACCATTTGAGCCTCAAATCCTCCATGCTCTATCTAAATGCTTGCAGTGAAAGAAGAAATGAGGACATCTGGATGCTTCCTAACCCCTAAGTCATTATCTTCACTCCTCTTCTTCCTCCATCACTGTTTCAGTGAATAGCACCCTCATCTCCCCAGCAAAGCTTAGGCATCATCCCAAGTGTTTGGTTTTTTTTTAAAGTGGGAATGGGGGCTACTGCCTCATTAGCCCCCTATCCCCAACTTTTTACTACTCGTCACAAATTCCTATCAATTCTGTCTCCCACACAGCTCTGGAGGCTGGTGACTTCACTCAAAATTCACATTCCTTACAAGTTCAAGTCACTGCATCTCTTGGTTTACTAATCACCTCTGAATTAGCGTTGTGATGTAAACCAATCTTCACCTGGGTGTTTCTCATACCTGACATGTGATCCTCCCACTACAATGTGCACCACAGTCACAGGAATGCTTGATAAAAGAGACTGCTGGGCTCCATCGCCAGAGTTTCTCATTCAGAAGGGCTGGGTGGGTCCCAAAATCTATGTTTCTAATAAGTTCCCAACTGCTGCTGCTCTGGGACCACCTTTCAAAAGTCACTGCTTCACACAACAGCCTTTCTAAAATGCTCATCTGATGAGCCAAAAACAGTGCCTTGAGACCAACCTGCTAACAACCATTCCCCCACCACTAAAATCTGGTATTATTAAAGGCATGAGTTCTAGAGTCAGACTGCTAGGATTCACATGTCAGTTCAACAATTCTGTTTTTCAGTTTCCTCAACTGTAACCTGGGAATAATAACTTTACCCATCTCCTGAGTTTCTTGTGGCTGGGTAAGATCAAATATGCTACGTGCTGACAATAATGCCTAGCACAAGTTCAAAAGCTTCACAAACACTATTTAACATGACTTCTCATTGTGAGGAGCTATGGCAGCTAAGCCCAGTGTGACGCTTTGCTCTTTCCCATATTCTCATTCCCTTGCTGCCCCGTGTCCCACTGCTGTGACCAAGTCACCTCCTGTCCCACGGCCCCCCTCCCCACGGCATTAAGAACATTCCTCCAGATCCTCAGTCTCTTCTCTTTATGTGTCCACATCTCACTCTAATTGAAATCTGGCTAAGGACACAGCTGCCTCTACAGGCCTCGCCATAACAGATAACTGTTTATCTTCCAGTATCTTCCGCATCTCGGGCCAGAACGTCTCGTTAATATAGTTCATACCACTTGCTGAGTTCTTCCTCCTCTCTCTCCTATAAAAACACCTCCACTTTTGTCATAAACTACTCCAAGGTTTTTATTCTTTTTCTTTGCCCTCAAACTGACAAACTAAACCAGGGAACGTAACTCAGTGCAACAGAGATTCCTTGGGGCAGGGGAAGGGATAAGCATTTTGAAATATCTGAGGTAAAGACTGAGGGAAGCATCTGCTTCTCCCCACCCCACCCTTGATTCATCTACTATGTGGGTTAAGCAGAGGCCTGCCACCTAGATAGAAAGCACTGCACAGGGCTTCTCTTTCACATCATCTTACCGTTTCATTTATTACAAGCTTCTGCATGAGTTTGCTTTCTTCTTTTCAATCCTGAATTTTGTCATCTTTTTGGTGAACTTCACTGTTCAGGTAGACAATTTATTCAGCTCCTTCTCGAACCCTTGATCTATCACATCCATAACCACCAAGAATATTCAAAATTCAGTCATCTATCTTTCATGACTTAACTGTGAACTTTTTTTAGTCATCTAAAATAACTACCTCTGAAATACTCCTCAGCTTTTCCACTCACTGACCACAATCGCCAGCTCTCTCATTCAGTTATGCTTCTGATCTTCAGTTTCACAGGTCTATCCAGTCATTTGACCTCTACTTCACTGATTCTCAACCCTGATTACTCTGGTAATGGTGATGATTGTTTAACAATTATTCACTCCCCTCACCTTCCAGCTGTGTGATGGGGGATCATCTTTGTTGACTGTGAAGGAGAGGCTATTTGGCCAATGGAGTAATAATGACTGATGCAAGCAGAACCTTTAAATGTGCTACTGCAACATGGCTCACTTTCTGTACTTCAGAGATATGCCATGAGAAGAATAGCTAGTTGCTGCCCATTTGGACTGACCCCCAAAATACATGTGCACAGACAGGAATCCAACCAACCCACAACCTGAAGGAGAATCAGTGAAATTGTCGATGCTCTGCAGACCCATGAGCGTGGGACTAAATACCCTGTCAGCTACTGAATTCTGGAGTGGTGTCTCACAAAGCATTATTGTGGCAATCTGAGGATTTATTTAAAATATACAGACACCTGGGTCCTACTCCCAGAGGTTCTGATTTAACTGGCCTGAACATCAGGATTTTAAAAATTCTCCAGGTGATTCTAATGTGCAGCCAAGTTGGAAGAAACTGCTGTATGTCATCCTTCTCGAGCTTTCCTTGCTTTCACATACTTCCATGCACAGTTTGAGTTCTGTGGTGCTTTATTTTAGCTCACTGTTCTGCTTTAGTTTGATCAAATCTATCCTGTTTTACATACTTCCCTGCACTACCAAGTTTCTATGATGCTTTTCAACCCTAACAAAATCACATGGAGAAGTCCTACATGTTCCAGCCTCTAACACACAGCCCAGGTTTTAAACAGTAAGCAGCACCGTGGAATCTAAGATGTTCAGGAAATACATGAAGCAGGACAGGGTTTGATAATTAGGGACAGAGCAGAAGTGTGAGGTAAAATGAAACATTGTGGAATCAAAACTATCTATGGAAGCGTGTGAAGTCAAGACAGTTTCAGTAGGGATAAAACATTTCTTTCCTCAGCTTTGGCTGCACATGAGAATCACCTGGAGAACTTCAGGAACTCTGGATGTCCTGCCTCCCACCCTCGGCCAATCAAACGGGAATCTCTGGGAGTAGGATCAAAGCCTCTGTATTTTTTTAAAAATTTCCCCAAGTGATCCCAGCATGCCTCTGTCAGTCAAAGGCACACAGACTGAGTGCCGAGCAATTAAGACCTAGACAAATATTTAAGACCAAAAGTATTTAAAAATAACTTAAATGGCTAAAATTTTTAAAAGTCTGACAACAGAAAGTATTGGTGAAGGTATCAGCAGAAGGAACTCCCACATACTACTAGTGGGATGTACGAATTAGTAAAACTAGTTTGAAAGAAACTGGGCATAAAAAGAATAAACTCTGTATAATACCACTTATACAATAAAGTTCAAAAACCCCACAAAAATAAAAATACAGAGATATAAACTTGGTTGAAAAATTATAAGGAAAGAGGAGCAAAGAGATGACTGCTAATACTGGGGATGGACAGCAAGTACACAGGGGGCTTCTGAGATTGTTGCTGCTGCTGCTGAGATTGCTAGCAATTTTTAAATTTCTTCCCTAGATATGATTTTTTGGGTATTAGTTTTGTGAAAAAGAATCACTGTGGTCACACGTTTTCAGTTTTGAGAACTTTTCTGTGTGTTATACTTCCCTGGTGACTTAGATGGTAAAGCGTCTGCCTAAAATGTGGGAAACCTGGGTTCGATCCCTGGATGGGGAAGATCCCCTGGAGAAGGAAATGGCAACCCACTCCAGTAGTCTTGCCTGGAAAATCCCATGGACGGAGGAACCTGGTGGGCTACAGTATGGTGGGCAAAGAGTTGGACACGACTGAGTGACTTCACTTTTTATGTGTTATATTTCACAATAAAAAGGTTTAAAAATGGTTAGCACCATTCAAGTTACTTTTTAGATATCTCTGATGCTCCTAAGTCTCTGTAAAGGTCTTCGTTTTGCCCAGCACTTTGTGTGTTCTCAGCCAGCTTCTCATTCCTCTCAGTAGTTATCCTCAAATTTCACTTTTAAAAATTCTCTACCCTTTCTCCTCTTATTTCCTAGAGAACTTTGAGTACTTAACCTCATTCCTACAAACTCTCTAAAAGGGAGGCATGTGCAAATTTGTTAAAATTTTCTCCCTACTTTCATCTTTCTGTCCAAAGCTAATCCTGCCACTTTTCAGTGTTACCGTTTCATCTATTAAGGGTTTTGTTGCCCTTCTTGCATCCTATCATTTCCTTCAAGACCATAAATAAATCCATATCTTCTGAATAAGAAAACAGCATACTGAAGGATATTCTCTGATCCCTGTTCACAGTCAGGCTTCTTAAAAGGCTGGTGGTCTACACTAGTATCCTTACTTCCTTCCCAGTCCCATCACTCCTCAAAACCTACTGTGTCATGCTTCCACCTCCCATACAGTTAATAGTCTTCTCAAAATCAGGAACGATTTCTTTATTGTCAGAAACACTGAAACGACTTTTCTGCAGCACTCAAAACTGGTAGCCACTTTCCTTTCCTTGAACTGCTCTCGCTCCACCTCTGTGATCCCACTTTCTACTCACTGGTCTTGTCTTCCTAATTCTTTGACTGCTACTTCTCAACCATTCTTCTTGACGGACTCCTTTTTCCTTAGCTCATCTCTCCAATACCACTGTTCTATGGTCACCATTCTCTTTTGTTCTATCCCACCTCTTCCCTACCCCTACCCACAGTGACTTCACCAAAACTTACACCTTCAATTCTAATTTACAGACTGGTTCTAACAGACTTCACTCCATCTTGTTTTCTATCTGCAAACCAGCTTCTTTTTGAAGTATCACCTGACTTAGGACCTTTTATTTTAGAACCTTAAATTTATGTAATCAAGCTATTTATCAAAATTATAAATACATCATCCCCCCAAAAGTTTAACACTTAGGAAACCTTAAGTCAATGATGCTGTCTAAAGTTAAACTGTTTGATGAATCTATACCATAGTCATGTCTTAGGTTTATTCTGTATCTAAAACAAAAACAAAATACTATTTTTTTCCTTCTTTTTGACTTAATGATAAATATATTCATCAAAAGAAAACTTTTGACAACTAATTGGCTGAGGAAATATCCATCTCTTCATTACAGTAATAATAACCATAGTAACGGGTAAATTACTTAATGGCAATTTCTGTATATTCAATATTATTCTAGATTTCTTCTTCAATGTTTTTGTTAATGCTATTAACAAATGTGTTGATGTGTGTGCATGCACATACATGTGTGTACATCACAGAAAAATTTTAACAAAAATACATCTCAAACCTTTTTTGATGAAAGGGATGATTAAATGATTCTGGATAGTGAAGACTCGTTTTAATAAGATTAGAAAGCTGCTCTGCTGATGGTCTTGAGGAAACTGTAGTGTTTTCTGGCCTGAAAAATTTTAATAGTTCCATTTCTGGTGGCTCCTGAGAAAAGAAAAAATATGACAATGAAAACACTGCCTTCTTAAAATAAGGTATAACAGATACAAACAAAAGCTTAAAACCAGTAGAAATTAAAAAAAAAACAACCAGTGGAAATAAAGTAAAGCATGTACAATATTTTTTCTGCTGTAAAAACTAACAAACAGTAGGAATCATGTGCAATACAACCTACGATAAAAAATTAGGATCTGTAATCATTTATTCATTCTCTATTATGTGCTGGTGTTAACTTGATATCCAACTATCACACATAATAGTTCTATGATCCTGGGTAAGTTATTTAATACTTCAAGACTTAATTTCCTCATATATAAAAAAGGGTTCACAATAATAACAATTTCAAAAGTTGCTGTGGTTCTCATCTAATAAAACTGCTTAGTACTTAGGCTATCATCTGCTTCATGAGTTTTTAAAAATATTCTCCTTATTTATTTATGGCTGCACTGGGTCTTCCTTGCTGTGGGTGTGCTTCCTCTAACCGCAGTGAGTGGGGGCTATTCTCTAGTTGCAGTGCACAGGCTTCCACTGCAGTTGGGTTCTCTTGCTGCGGAGCACAGGCTCTAGGGGCATGGGCGTCAGCAGTTGTGGCTCACCGGCCCAGTTGTCCCCAGGCATGTAGTATCATCCCAGACCAAGGATCAAACCCATGTCCTCTGCATTGATACGCAGACTCCCAACCACTGGACCACCATGGAAGTCCTCTTCCTTGATTAATTTTTTCTCCATTTTCCTTTACCATCAGAAAATTTTGTTTTTTAATTTCTTGGTAGCCTAGTTGGAATCTGATCTACACCCAGGACTGGCGAACCATATCCCATGGGCCAAAGCCAGCTTGCCTCTGGTTTTTGTAAAGAGAGTTTTATGGAAACAGAGCCACATCCATTTGTTTACATACTGGCTATGGCTGCTTCTGGACAACAGAGATGAGTAATTCTGACAAAGACCTTCTGGCCAGCAAAGTCAGAAATGTTTATTATCCAGCTTTTCTCAGAAAAAGTTTGCTGATCCTTGATTTATACAGCTTCAAAAGCAATATTCAAATTTGTTTTTGACTTATGAGTGAGAAGGTGACTGTAGAGGTTTACTCTGGAGAAGGAAAAACTTGTGGCTGAAAGCCAGAAGGAGCCGAACTTCTGAAGTGCACGTCATATTCCCTTTCTTAATCTGGGTCCTGCTTATACTGGAGTGTTCTTCAATTTGTGAAAAGTCACTCTTCTGCATTTTTGTTAAACTTTAATAAAAAGTTCAAAAAATATCCTATTGTTTAACATAGTATAATCATCTAAGATAAACAAGCTGTTATTTGAGACTTCTAAACTATATTGAATAAATCTCTACATACCACCTACCAGGAGGCAAACACATGAACAACAGCCATAAAAGGATACCAAAAACCTGAAGCTAATTTACCAAGGGAATACGGACTAAAGTTTCCCTCTCCCTCAGCTTAAAAGCAGCAACAATTTTCACAATAAGTGCTGAACAATTTGTACAGTAGTTTTTTCCAATAAGGGTGACAGTTATACCCCAAGACAGTTCCATCACAAGAGAGGCAAGATATAAAATACTCTCCTGTTTTATAAGTAAGCTAAAGTTTATCAAGTTATGCAAGTAAATTCCACTAGGTCATCAATCTAAAAGTCTCTAAACTCCATATATATTATCCTCAGTATGATGAACATGCCACATCTCGCAACTCAGCTAATCATGTAAAATATTTCAAAAGTGAAATACAGAGAAATAAAATGGATATGCCCTAGACAGTATTTTTGTAAAATGGGAATATAATATGAGTAAATTTTATACAGAACACTTTGTTTCATTTTATAAATGAAAATCTTGCCTTTCCAAATTATCAAAATATGACAATTTATAAATAAAATGAGATTTTTAATTAATCAAATCAGTTTGAGAAAAACAACTTTCTTAAAGTAAGAAACAGATTTGGGGTTAAATATATCTTCGTTAAACCTAACAGAAAATTACCATTAGTCATCACTAAAGTAAAAATCAATTCAAATTATATTATTACCAATGGAATGTAAAGCTAGTATACCTAACTTTGATGAGAAATCAGACATTTACATAGTCCCAAATTATCTCCCCACAATTACTTCTTCTTATAAATAAAAAAGAAAAATAGTAATACTGTGGAAAAACATGGCAGGTAATATCTTAATCAAATGATCCATCACCTATAATGGGATGAATTAATATCAAATGGCTTTTTATTTAATTTCTGACGTGGACCATTTTTAAAGTCTCTATTGAATCTGTTACAATATTGCTTTTGTTTTATGTTCTGGTTTTTTGGCACTGAGGCATGTGGGATCTTAGCTCCCCAACCAGGGCTCGAACCAACCCCATGCATTGAAAGGCAAAGTCTTAACTGCTGGACCATCAGGGGAGACCCTCATGTGCCTTCTGAAGTAATACACTGACAGGGATATAACATCACTTAGGAAGTATTTCAGTCAAAACTGTGTAACTTTAGTTTGATCATAAGAAATATTCAAAGTATTATTCTATATTTAAAATAACTGGCCAAGGCTCTTCAAAAATGTCTACATGATAACTGAAAAATAAAGGTTCAGAAAATGTTCCAGATTAAAAGAGACTGAAGAGACTGAAGTGAACACAATGCACGATCCTGGACTGATTCTGAATGGGAAAAAAGCAAACCAAGTCTTATAACCAAGACCATTGATGACATCTGAATTTAGACTGTATATATGAGTACTGTATCAATGCTAAACTTCCTGAATGGTTTTTGTGATTATGGAGAAAATTGTCTGTGTCTTCAGGAATACTCTCTCAGTCAAGTATTTAGGGGCAGATAGGCAAGATGTCTGCAACTTACTTGGAAGGGATAATCCAAGAATGATGAAGAAAAAAATTAATATGTACATTAACAGATAAGCAAATAAGCCAAATGTTAACCAGTGGTGAACCTGAGTGAAAGGTCTGAGAAAAGCTTTATAAGATTTTCTCTTTAAGTTTCAAAATTTCAAACTACAAGTTGTCAAAAATAATGGGGAGAAAAGCATGACAATTAGAATCAATTATTTATGAACACAATACAAGGTCACTATTTGAATCACAGGACTAAATATGCTTAAATTTTATTTATATATATATATGATGAGAACTTTTGATAAGATTCAACAGTACTTTAGGAGAACTAAGAAAACAAACAGTACTACCAGCTGCTGCACAACTCCAGAGGCCCTCCTTTACACCATGTGACCAGCCCCGTGGAATTCTGCAATGGTGTGGGCCTGCTGAACGATAAGCAAGGCAAGATAGAGGATACGGTTCCATCCTCTCATGCAAGTCAATTCATTTTATAACTATGAGTTCGAGATTCAATAAAGAGTATATCTTAGGAAACTCCAGGATCACAAATGCATCTTAATGCTCTTATTAAGGGCTAGTGAACTTCAAAATCAATTTATGTTCATTTTTAATTTTAATCAGCTTTCTGCCACCAACCCCCAACTCAAATCTCAGTATAAATGCTTGCAGAAGAATATACAACGGAAAAAAGACAACCTCTTTAACAAGCGGTGCTGGGAAAACTGGTCAAGCACTTGTAAAAGAATGAAACTAGAACACTTTCTAACACCATACACAAAAATAAACTCAAAATGGATTAAAGATCTGAATGTAAGAAACTATAAAACTCCTAGAGGAGAACACAGGCAAAACACTCTCTGACATAAATCACAGCAGGATCCTCTATGACCCACCTCCCAGAATATTGGAAATAAAAGCAAAAATAAACAAATGGGACCTAACGAAACTTAAAAACTTTTGCACAAGAATGGAAACTATAAGCAAAGTGAAAAGACAGCCCTCAGACTGAGAGAAAATAATAGCAAACGAAGCAACAGACAAAGGATTAATCTCAAAAATATACAAGCAACTCCTCCAGCTCAATTCCAGAAAAATAAATGACCCAATCAAAAAATGGGCCAAAGAACTAAACAGACATTTCTCCAAAGAATACATACAGATGGCTAACAAACACATGAAAAGATGCTCAACATCATTCATTATCATAGAAATGCAAATCAAAACCACATTGAGGTACCATTACACGCCAGTCAGGATGGCTGCTGTCCAAAAGTCTACAAGCAATAAATGCTGGAGAGGGTGTGGAGAAAAGGGAACCCTCTTACACTGTTGGTGGGAATGCAAACTAGTACAGCCGCTATGGAGAACAGTGTGGAGATTTCTTAAAAAACTGGAAATAGAACTGCCATATGACCCAACAATCCCACTTCTGGGCATACACACCGAGGAGACCAGATCTGAAAGAGACACGTGCACCCCAATGTTCATCGCAGCACTGTTTATAACAGCCAGGACATGGAAGCAACCTAGATGTCCATCAGCAGACGAATGGATAAGGAAGCTGTGGTACATATACACTGTGGAATATTACTCAGCCATTAAAAAGAATTCATTTGAATCAGTTCTAATGAGATGGATGAAACTGGAGCCCATTATACAGAGTGAAGTAAGCCAGAAAGATAAAGACCAATACAGTATACTAATGCATATATATGGAATTTAGAAAGATGGTAATGATAACCCTATATGCAAAACAGAAAAAGAGAGACACAGATGTACAGAACAGACTTTTGGACTCTGTGGGAGAAGGCGAGGGTGGGATGTTTCAAGAGAACAGCATCGAAACATGTATATTATCTAGGGTGAAACAGATCACCAGCCCAGGTTGGATGCATGAGACAAGTGCTCGGGTCTGGTGCACTGGGAAGACCCAGAGGGATCGGGTGGAGAGGGAGGTGGGAGGGGGGATCGGGATGGGGAATACATGTAAATCCATGGCTGATTCATGTCAACGTATGGCAAAAAACACTACAAAATACTGTAAAGTAATTAGCCTCTAACTAATAAAAATAAATGGGAAAAAATAAAAATAAAAATAAATAAATTAAAGCTTGCAGAAATCAGACACCTTCAAAAACACAAAACAACCAAACAAAAAGCCCCACAAGTTCACAGGAGGCCCCAAAACATGTCATTACCTGTTTCTGAGGATATGAAAAAGCTTCTTTTCCAATAGTGCGAAGAACAACATGGTGCTGACCTTCCAAAATAAGCTGCTTACTGTCTTCCACTACATAAGCCTAAGAACAAAACACAAAAGTGTTACCCCTGCTTGGCAGTCAACCTCAAAAGTAACCAAGGCAAAATCTGCTGGAAAGTGGAAGTGTTACAGCTAATATCTATCAAATACCAAGATTCATGACTGTGTCAGCATTTCTAACTTTCATTCATTCATTCAATCAATAAAGTATCTGTCAAAATCTGCTCTGCCTCAATATAAAACAGTTGGCCTGGATATTCGAGAAACAAATCTTGAAAACTTTCCCAATCTTCTCTAGAGTGCTTAAGAAGCTAGCCTAAAAGAACAGTGCTATACCATAACACAAGCTTTTTTCTTTACTGGATTGACAATATGCGGGCAGAAGCCTTTTTCTTATAGTTTTGCTTCTAAGATGCACCAGAGTTATCACATAGTAGAGCAGAATCAGTGAGTATATAACTGTAAATCCTGTAAGTGGAAATGCCATGTCCTTGGAGAACTTAAATTTAAGTATGTAAGCTTTAAAAATAAAAAGGGCTTTTTTCTTCTTATACAATGGCCTGATTTAATCTATATTAAAACTTATTCCAGCATGTAATTCTTCTTCTTGAACTTTTTCTGTCCTGGAGAAAATAGAATCTCTAAATGGCTCTGATACACTTAACGTCACATTACACAAATACAGATGGTTAAATTTTTTTTTTTGACAAGCCCAATGTTTTTTAACTATTAGACTCAACAGATTCAAAATTACTTAGTCAAATGCTGTAAACATTCCTAAAATGTTTATTTTCAATTTCTATACTTATCACATGTGGCAATTTGCCATCCGTTGATCACACTTGGAGAAGTGCTGCACTAAGTTAAGGCCCAGGCAGGCCCAGGGCCTGCTTAGCATCCATCCACGCACAACTGAGAAATGCAGGAGGAGTTAAATAAATATTTGATGAAGTGACCTTTAATCGAGAGGATGACAGCTGATAAAGTCCTGACACGGGACATACATCTCTTTCAGTGGTCTCAAGGGATCAAAAAAAAAATCATGCTTAACCCTATAATGCAGTCTCTCCTGCACAAAGTCTTCGTTTTTCAAAACAAACTTTTATTTTGGTTAAAAGCAATTAGAAGCTGTATTATACAACCCCTTGGGCTTCCCCTGGTGGCTCAGTTGGTAAAGAATCTGCCTGCCATACAAGAGACCTGGGTTCAATCCCTGGGTTGGGAAGACCCCCTGGAGAAGGGCATGGCAACCCACTCCAGTATTCTTGCCTGGAAAATCCCATGGGCAGAGGAGCCTGGGGGGCTACAGTCCATGGGGTTGCACAGTTGGACACGACTGAGTGAGTAACACTTTCATTGTAGCCCCTTACAACTAATTTATTTTTTAAAGAAAAATGCTGTCCAAGGTCTTAGCTTTCTTCTGAATCATATTTTATTAGAGTGCTATGTTCCCTAAGCATCCACTCCACAACTTAAGTGAATTGTCAAGTTTTCTTTCAGTCAAGGGGATCATTTGGGCATTATCCAGAGCCCTCACTAAGGAAAATCTACTAGTCACTTTCTCAAATGAGCTGAATCACAAACTTACCACAGATACTAGCCACTACCAGACAATATCCCATCCTTTAATCTATTCAAACTTCCATTCCCTAACTAAGGAGCATCACAATCTTGGATAGTTTTCTTCTTCATGTGACCAGCAATAGTAGTAGTTGATTTTCATTCAGGGTGATTTTTTAAATGATAACTCACCCCTCCAACCAAGGTTACTGTGAGCTCAACAATAAGTACAGAATACAGCATACATTACTCAAGATCCTGTCTTGGATATATTACAATTGTTACATGGCAGCAATCTGTGGAGTGACAGCTACAAATGCTTATGGCCTATTATACATTTAATGGATGGCTGGTTTACATAAAGAGGCAATGCTCCTGAGGCTAAAAATAGAATTTTCTTGACTCAAAGCTTCAAGGACATTTGATTTCAAGATAACAGTGTGTAATTTATCCTTTAAGCATTAAGCATCTTCACCTTCTGTAATCAACAAAAGTCAATTTGCTTAAATACTGTTATTGGAACTCATGTAAAGCCCACTTGGTTTCAAGAAAGTTTATTTTAAAATGTACAGCTTAGTAAAAAGAACACGCTAGAACATGTGAATCAATTTAAAATGCATGTTCCAATCATCTAACATGAACATGTCCCAATGTTAGGCCTCTGTATTAGACAATACAAAAATAAAACCTCTTCACATAGTTCAGGTGAATATCCCTAGGCAAGACCCTAAATTTCAGTGTAGAATCATTTCTAAAAACACATACTTAAGATAAAAAAGGGTATACTGTGAAAAATAAATCTCTGTATTATAGTTAGTTAACTTTGCGTGTGTGCTAAGTCACTTCAGTCATGTCCGACTCTTTGCAACGCCATGGACTGTAGCCCGCCAGGCTCCTCTGTCTGTAGGGATCCTCTAGGCAAGAATACGGGAATGAGTTGCCATGCCCTCTTCCAAGGGAACTTTCCAACCCAGGGATGAAACCCTCAGTTAACTTTAGGGGAGACCAATACCTAAATTACCTCATTCTAGTCTGCCATGTGTATGTGTAGATGGCATTTAATCTGATTTTTTTTTAATTAAAATGATATTTTCAAACAATCTGGAAAATCTCAAAGACCAACAATTAGGTAATTATAAAGAATTTCTGTTAATTAGGGTGAGATAATCATATGGCAGGGTTATATTAAACAAGAAAGTCCTCATCTGCTAGAAAAGCAGTTTACAAAATGCTTTTATAGATGAAATATTATGGTCATTAAAAATATATAGTACAGCATAAAAAATAAAAGGTAAAAATAAAGTAAAGGAGCTAATGGAATACAGGTGAAAAATGAACAGCAGCAAATTAGTGGCTGCTAGAGCCTGAGTAATGGGTACCTAGAGGTACGTGGTGTTATTTTTCCTTTTACAGAGTTTGAAAATGCCCACAATAAAGAGTTTAATAATAGCACTTTGCTTTCGTGGAGCTTATCATGTTTTACAATATTCTCAGTACCTCTTGTAAGTAATAAGTAACAGAACAAAGTCATTTAATTTGAATGAATTTTTTTTCCTTTAGGCAAAAAAAAAAAAAAGTCATCTGAACTGTTAACAAAAAGTTATAAAACAGCTTTCAAACTCAAACTGGAAAATTTAAGCAGAAAAAATATACACAATAGCTTACATTTACTGTTCAGCTTAAGAATCAAGTATAAATGAGGCTTGCTGAAATAACTTAACAACACATACCTTCCACAACACCACAATATTCAAATCCACCTCATTGCACTTCTGGATTAACCTCATAACATCCTCTACTGACTGTTTTTCTGTATGCACCAAAGACTGGGCTTGTGGTTTCTTCAATTCAGAGGATAAACTCCTATAGAAGAAATCTGCACATGGGCTTGCTGAACTTACTATCTGTTAAAAGAAAATCACTTGTCTATATGTGTTTTCAATTAAATATACCCTGTCAAAATTTATATTTCTACAACTTACACATTTCTTATCAATTTGGTTGAATATAAGAAGGCCACCCTAATGCCTGAACATCTAAAACATTTGCTTCAAATTACCCTGAATCTTAAATCTAGACTGCCATGACATTAACTTGGACCTTCCAAGTATCCAGGGAAGACAAATGGGTATTCAAAGAAAATAGGAAGTTAATTGTTGAGAATCTGAAGAACAACATATATATAAATATGTATATATAACTGAATCACTTTGCTGTACACCTGAAACTAACAAAATATTGTAAATTATTCTTCAGTTTAAAAAAAAAGTAAATTGTTAAAAATAAAATTTTTTAAATTATTTTTTCCTATTAAAAGATTTTTTTTTACTATTAAAAATAACAAGTATTTCCCAATCAAATACTTAGAAGACTAGGTGATACCCAATGAAACACAACTCAAATGAAGTTATGAGCATTAACTTGGCTTTTACACTTGAAGGGAGAGAATAAGAGAAAAGATTTTTAACAGAGTCAGAACTACAGAATTTCCCCTAGTTAATGGAATACTGTGTTTCACTGTAGAATCTCAATACTTAATTTCCTGCATTATATACTATGTTAAGTAGATGTTAAGCTTCCAAGTTAATTATTAAATATTAATAAATTCATAAGATTTTCCCCCTCAGACATGAACTTTTTTCTGGTAAACCATTGTTCACATAGCTCGCTCATTATGAAAATTACAAAAATTTTTCACAGTTATCTCATTACCAAAAAACAAAATTACAAACAGCTTATTATTTGGGTCTCAGAACCGTTTGATATTCCCAAATCCAAGGGATCACCATCTGTATGTTCCACTGTGACCACTTTTCCAAATAGATAGGTTCTTTCATATAATCCTGTTCCTTTTTTTAAATGCCAAGGGCTAAATTTATCTCCTGAGTATCTTACAATCTAAAAGAAAGCTAATTTTAAATTACTAATTAAAATGGCATATTACATATAGCATTTATTTGCTTGGGGGCATGACATCAAGCTGCAAAACTCAACAAAGCTGACATGTTCATCCACCAAAGAATTTAGAGATTACTAGAGTAACAGTTTTGCCAAAACAGTCAAGATACTCCAGAACTATAAATGTCAAACACTATTAGGTTTACTTGCATACCTGTTCATTTCCAAAGATGATATCTGCAAAGGTGTATTTTTCTGAGACCTCCGTAACTAAAAAATGGAGGAGAATAAACTAATCATATCATTGGCATGAAATAGAAAATGACCATTTAAGAAAGTGTGACACTAAAATGAATTTACCTTCTTCTTCCTTACATTGTGTTGCCTTGAAACAAAACTTTCCCTTCTCCCTACTGGCAAGTTTGGCATCTAGGAAAAGAAAAGAGAAAATTTCAAAGATCTTTCTCCGTTTGTAACATGGTAAAAGCTAGTTCATTATTCAGATTTCTATAGTCAAACTAGAAAACATTTCATCATTAGAAATAATGTTTAATGGCATCTGGTCCTATCACTTCATGGCAAACAGATGGAGAAACAACAGAAACAGTGGCTGACTTTATTTTTCTGGGCTCCAAAATCACTGTAGATGGTGACTGCAGTCATGAAATTAAAACACGCAAAAAAAAAAAAACAACAAAAAAAAAACGCTTGCTCCGACCAACCTAGACAGCATATTCAAAAGCAGAGACATTACTTTGCCAACAAAGGTCCGTATAGTCAAAGCTATGGTCTTTCCAGTAGTCATGTATGGATGTTGAGAATTGGACTATAAAGAAAGCTGAGTGCCGAAGAATTGATGCTTTTGAACTGCGGTGCTAGAGAAGACTCTTGAGAGTCCCTTGGACTGCAAGGAGATCCAACCTGTCAAGCCTAAAGGAAATCAGTCCTGAATATTCATTGCAAGGACTGATGCTGAAACTGAAACTCCAATACTTTGGCCACCTGATGCGAAGAACTGACTCACTAGAAAAGACCCCAATGCTGGGAAAGATTGAAGGCAGGAGGACAAAGGGACGATAGAGGATGAGATGGTTGGATGGCATCACCAACTCGATGGACAAGAGTTTGAACAAGCTCTGGGAGCTGGTGACGGACAGGGAAGCCTGGCATGCTGCAGTCCATGGGGTCACAAAGAGTCGGACATGACTCAGCAACTGAACTGACTGACTGAAAACATTTTTGCTTTTCTCTCAATGAAGCAAATCTCATTCAATTCTTTAAAAGGGTAAGATTAAATCTTTCTGAAATTCATGTTCATACAGATAAACAGAAATTTTGAAAATTTAGAATCTGGGAGCCAGGGAGTACACAACCCCACCACTCCATCATTTCATTTCCTATCAGTATTTTTTCATGTGGATAATTTATATCAATATTATTATATGCACATAGTTTGCCATGATGTGTTTTCCCACTATATTACAGACACATTTTAAAAGCTTATTTATTTTAATGACAAGATGAGTTGTAGCTTAATTCACATTAGATACATTCGATTTTTCCTTATTAAACAGAACCCTGCAATAAACTGCTCTGAATATATGAATCTTCTTATATTTTTGAATTAATTCCTTTGTATAAATTCCAAAAATAAGGATTACGGTGAGGCTAGGTAAGGGTTTAAACATTATTTTAATCTTTTAAATACATGTACAATTCTTTCTAGAAAGAGTATCATTTTGCCAGCTTCAATCTATTCTGACAAGCACTAAGCACTCTCATATTACTGGCAAGATGATAAAATGATAGAAATATTTTGGAAAACAATTAGACAATACATATCACAAGTGTGCATGTTCTTTTAAGTGTTATATGGGCTTGAAAATACACAGAAAAGCCAATCAACATACAAGTATGATTATACACAGAAAAATCAGCTTACCAACAGTAAAGGAAACAATGAGAAACTAGTCTATATGCTTCTGTACTGTTTTAAATTTTGACTGTGACCATGTATCCAAGCACTAATTTTACAACTGAATTTTTATTTTTGTTGGCAGACCATTTGTGAAAGTCGCTATTGAATTTGTTACAGTACTGCTTCAGTTTTATGTTTTAGCTTTTTAGCTACGAGAGGCATGTGGAACCTTAGCTCCCCAATCAGGGATCGAACCTGTACCCCCTGCAGTGGAAGGTGAAGTCTTAACCACTAGACCACCAGGGAAGTTCCACAACAGAATTAAAAAAATATATATATATACAAATAGAAAAGATGTGGAATAAAAAGATGGGAAATCATCAATTAAGATGAGTAGTTCCATTAAAAATCATGCAATGTAATGAATGCACAATTTAATGCTTTAAAAAGTTAATTATAAGAAAGGCACCAATAATTATTACATTCTGATACTGTTCTGAAGAAAAGTCAACTAATAAAGATATCAGAATTTATTCTGAAAAGGGAAAAAGCACAAACCTTTGTTTTCAGAGAGATTTACAGACTTCTGTAACTTCCAGTGTTTACTACTACTTGATACTTGCACTATATGGAATTCCTTCACACCTGCTTCACTCTATCAAAAAGAAGTAAAGAGAGTCATTCAGGATTTAGAAGCACTAGCTTAGTATATTCTACTGAGAAGGACACTGCTACCAAGTCACTATCAGTTAACATAAGATGCAATTTTTATTCTGAAATAAATTAACACTATATATTTCAGTAATTGCCAGTAATGGCAATTATTTAAACTCCTCCACAAACATTCTGAAAACAGGTAAGTCATCACCTATCCAAGAAACAGATTTAATTATAATATACTTCTGGTGGCAAATTTTTAAATATTGAAAGGCATTCAGTTATTAGACTCTATCATACTGAGTTATTAATCAAAAATTATTTCTTATCAATTTTTAATCAAAACTATGGTTTAGATTTTTTTTTTTTATGGTTTTCATTTTATTTTTTCTCATCTTTCTATCACATTCTTATTAAGGCAAAAAAGCAACAAAGAACAGAATCCCAAAATACAATCAACTATATTTATTTAAACTGCATGCAATTTTTTTATTCTCCCTAATAAGAGCTAATTTCAAATTATCCAGACATTCTTTCTATTACAAATACTGATTTGGGGGAAGATAACCAAACAAACTGACCTTAACAAATTTTTGGAGTTGAAAGAAAAAGGACATTACAGAAGTAATAACAATTCAAATAGGTATCTAAACTGAATCAATCTGAAGCTAAAATTCTATTTTAATAAGATCACATTCCCTTCCTTTAAGATTTTCATTTTTATATTTAGAGTACATAAACAGGAATGGTAAATAAAATGTTTGAAATGCTTTATATAAAGGAAATGGTACTGTTGGAAATGTGTAAGTGAGGGGTTATCAAGTAACTACTGAATGTGAAATTCTAATAGAACTTTGTAAATTTAATTACATCAAAAGACATTCTCAATGGTGAGACTAGAAAGCATTTTATAAGATCTCTTTGGGGTTGAATTACTGGTATGCATGGCTATATATCATACAACTATGCAGCATATTAATACCACTAGATCCTTTTATTTGAAGCACTAAAGGATAAAACCACAAAAGCAAATTGAGAAGTAGGATATTTTTATATTCTATTCAAAATGAACACTCCCTAAATTCCTAGTTTATACTATCTTGTGAAGGAAAAAAGTTCATTATTAAAAACAAAGTTTCTTTTTAAACCAACTTACAGTATTGGTATTTTCCACATCCACAAAGACTAGCATATTGCCTCCTCTGCCCTCCTCATCTTCAAGAGAATTACTTCTGCAGACAGTGGCTCGCACATTCAAAGATCGGCTGGTACAAATGACTGCAGTATGTCTTAATATTCTGTGACTAAAGAAGTAAAAATTACAAATTTAATCTAAGAACCTCTCCCAGAGTTACGATACTCTAATTCCAAATAAAGCTTTTAAAACCCATTCACTCTCAGGACCATTTATACTCTTAAAAAAACAAAGACAATAATGTAAGAGTATCTAGTTAGCCTAACTTTGGTTCAATTCTTTACTCCCAGTTTGGAAGAAAACTATTAGTCTCCCTTTTTCCCTGCTCATCAAACTCATCCATAGCACAGACCTGAAAATAATCATCATATAGTTATGTCTGGATTATGCTGCTGCTGCTGCTGCTGCTAAGTCACTTCAGTCATGTCCAACTCTGTGCGACCCCACAAACAACAGCCCACTAGGCTCCCCCGTCCCTGGGATTCTCCAGGCAAGAACACTGGAGTGGATTGCCATTTCCTTCTCCAATGTATGAAAGTGAAAAGTGAAAGTGAAGTTGCTCAGTCGTGTCCGACTCTTAGCGACCTCATGGACTGCAGCCTACCAGGCTCCTCTGTCCATGGGATTTTCCAGGTGAGAGTACTGGAGTGGGGTGCCATTGCCTTCTCCGTATGTCTTGATTATGACTCTTCTGATAACAGTTCCAAAGTTACTGGATGCCTACCAAGTACTGATAAATTACACACTTTCACCTGGCATTCAAGGCTCTCCACAACAGAGCCTTACAATTCAATCTTTATTCCCGTTTTACACATTTTACACTGTAGCCAAACTAACTATATTCAGTTTGTATCTCCTAACTCTTTAATTTTCATCCACATATACAGCTACTTCCTGGAATACCCACTACTCTTCTGCCTATACCCTTTGACATTCAAATTCTGAAATCTTTACTTTCTTTGGAAGCTCATTTCACCACTACTACATTCCACAAAGTCTTAATGAATTGCTTTGGCCAGATGACTCATCTTCTTAAGGGAAAAATTAACATTTACTGAGGACCTACAACATACTTTTCCTTACAAGTATTGTATCTTTTTGTTCTCATAGTAAGCCTTTTATGATATTTTTAATAGTCCAATAAATTTTTAAAAGTAGCACAATTATTCCAAGTTAATTCTGTAAAAATGACAATGGGATTAGCACGGAATACTCTGTTGTGCAAATATACAAGCTATAGCTCCCTGTGTTTTAATTTCTTCAGAGATACCCATACCACCACTCAAATTACTTGCTCTGCAAACACATAAATTTGGGGAGGCAGAGAAGGGCTAGAGAAAAGGAAAAGTTAAAATAATTTTCTTTAAAAAGGATGACTGTAGGCAACCTGTCTTCATATACTAATGACACTCTTAATTCATGGTACCTGTGAATTTCCTTATTATGTGGTAACTCTGACCATAGTACTTAGCTGTATCAAAAAACCATGAAGTTTACAGAAAGAAGCATGAGAAAGATTAATGTAGCTTAATTTTTTTCCACTTTTGGCTACTCAGATTAGGGACAACCTCAGATAAAAACTTCATGCATAATCTGGATAAGGGTAATTTCTTAGTAAACAATGACATATGTTAACAACTAATAAAATGTTTATTTGAATGGGTATATACTTTCCCGATGGCTCAGATGATAAAGAATCTGCCTGCAATGTAAGAGACCCAGGTTAGATCCCTGGGTCAGGAAGATCCCCTGGAGAAGGGAGTGGCTAATCTACTCCAGTATTCACGCCTGGAGAATTCCATGCACAAAGGAGCCTGGTGGGCTACATACAGTCAATGGGGTCGCAAAGAGTTGAACACCACTGAGCAACTAACACTTTCACTTTTTTCATATACATGTATCCTCAATGCAGAGGTTAAATCTAAAAAATTTTATAATACTCACCGTATTTTAGGCTGCTTTTTAATGCTTTCATAGTAAAACAAAAAGTTAATTTCATGGACACCTTCTTCATCTGGCCCACGTAACCACATTGGTAGCTGAACTGAAGCTCCAGGTAGAAGAACAGTGTCAGGAAGGGGAACAGAAATCACCTCTGGCTGACTTCCTATGCCGATGCCAAAGTCCACAGAAGAAGCTGATGATACGAGTGCTGTACACACAGAGGTAGAATCTGTCACAACAGTCTTGTAAGCACTACAGTTCTCAGAAGCCGAGGGACTCAGCGGTGTTAGAACAGCTGTGTTACCACCAAAGGTAAAGAACTCTGGACGTTTAGAAACAACCTTCAATCCAGTAAGAGGACATTTGCTGACATTGACAAATTCTACATAGGCTTTTCGGATTTCTCCACAGAGGAGCCCTGTAGGAAAATGTATAAAGAACACCTGCATTGGAGGGAAAAAATATTATTATATTGTCTGTTAAAAATTCTGAACCTCTACTGAATAACACTTTAAGATGCTGTTATTTCTTTACTATAGGGTTACAAGTATTTTATTCATTCTCTTTGATATCTCCCTGTGTATGTGGTTATTAAGAACTCCATTTTTAAAAAGAGGGATAAGACAGAGACCAATGTTACTCAGTAGCAGATTTCAGAGTTACATATTAAAGGTAAAGTGTCAACAACTCGAGGGCCACCGGCAAAATTTTCACAACTGTGTAGATTATGGTTAAGACTAGCTATAAGTAATTTAACATGATTACATGAACAGTTATCAATTGAAGAGTCCCTAAGACTGTCAACTTAAAAAATAGCTCATCTATTTATCTATACATCATTAAAATGAAGCGATGCACAATAGGTCTGAAAAGAGGAGAACATACAGAAGCATGATTCCACATCCATAATTTTTAAACCTGGTATCTCTGAGTATCCTCAGGGTTTCCATAACCCAAGGTGTGAGGGAAACTTGGTTTGACTAATGGAGACTCTTTATAGCCTTTCCCATTTAGTGCGATATTCATGTGGTTCATTCAAGCTATGTTAATGTGCTTGATAACCGGTGCTGCCACAAACCCAACAGGGGTCACAAAATGTAGAAGATAAAAACACACATGCATATGTGTGATTTCTAAAAATTTAAAAAAAAAAAAAAGACTTTGAACACATGCCTGGCCTCAGGATTTCAGATAGGGACTGTCGATCTATACTAAAGAGCTGGAAATATGAACTAACAAAATCATCCAGTAAGTCATTTGCATTGAAAAGATCCACAAGCATAAATGTCAGAAGAACTCTAACAGAATCAAAGAAAGGAGGATTAAGAGGGTAAGAGGATGAAGAGTAAAGGTACAGCTGGCTGTCCCAAAGGAGTTATCAAAGTCCAGTGGAAACATCTGTGTCTTTCAATCTAAGTTTGAATAAGACTTCATTCTGGCCAAATTCTTAAGGAATCAGATAAAGTCAGGGGAAATGAGAAGCTTCAAAAATGGACACCAGAAAATAAGGGATTAATGGAGAAATCCAAAACACAGGTTAAGAAGTTAGAAAAAATAAACTAAGCATAACATTATACTGAAAACACAGATAATGTACTAATTAGCCAGTATCAAATAAGCTAAAATTTGTGAAGGAATATCAATTTTGAATTGTTACATCAAAAACAACCGCATGAGTAACCAGTGAAATAAGAGTACTGTAAAGATGCACTAAAACACACAGATACCCAGATACCACGGGTAAGGCACTGGTAGAACGGGAAGGATGACAGAATAGGACCAGTGATAAACCATATCTAGGATACTGTGTATATATCTTCAGAAAAAGGTTTTACTAAATATACTATGTTGACTCTAAGGAGAACAAGTATATCTAGCCTTTACTTCAAATGCATTTCTGCTAAAAGTCCTCATAAAAAGTTGATGTTTTAAACAGCTTCAAATTTTAATGGAAAATAAGACTGAGAACCAGGACTTTCACTTCCACTAGTTACTCCTCAAGATGTGTGATAGGCATATAAAGTAAAAATGATACACATAAGGCTAGTCATTGTGATTTCATCTGTAACATCAAGTGATCTGACATGATAGGCAAGTGTGGTTCAATAAATGTCATATACACAACGTACTGCCTACAGAGAGAACCTGAAGGGCCTGCTCTTCTTTCTACTTTTCTATGTAAAACTTTTTTCTAATGTAATGTAAAAAAAATTAATAAGGGAAGAAAAAGTTTTGCAATGACACTGCTTTTTCTCCAACAGAACTTAAAAACAAAATATTTCTAATCAGTAGATATCACAGCTGTATGCTTTCAGTATGCTACACAAGTGACAGTTAACACACGACACTTTAATTTTCATCTTTTCTCAGCTTCAGTAATTTTCATGCTCACTCTTGTTTTTATTAAGAGACTATTTCATCAGATGTTGTACACTGATTACTTCTTTCACTACTCCCTTAAAACACTTCAAACTCTATGAAATATTTCTGACATACAGTATTAGGAATGGGAATATTCTATGAATTTTTTACTAATATTAAGGTATACTATTACTCATCCAAATATAATGGAAGTTCTCTTAACTAAGTTAAAAAAATCTTAAATGATGAAAACTGCCAGATGAAAGATAAAGTATTGCAAGTATTTATGAACCAGAAATGAGTACTGACATCAGTCTGTAAGTCTTCTACTTGCCCTACACATCTCTTTATTTATTATTATTATTATTATTGTTGTGTATCCTGCATTGACAGGTGGATTCTTCACCACGAGCCACCAGGGAATCCCCCATACAGCTCTTTAAATGCAACATAATTGTTGTTGCTGTTTGGTCACCAAGTCATGTCTGACTCTGCTGAGACCCCATGGACTGCAGCCTAACGGGCTGCTCTGTCCACGGGATTCTCCAGGCAAGAATACTGGACTGGCTTGCCATTTCGTTCTTCAGGGGATCTTCCCACCCCAGGGATCAAACCCATGTTCTCATACTTGGGAGGTGGACTCTTTACCGCTGAGCCACTTGGGAAGTCTGCAACATAATTAAGCAAGTGTAAAATCTGGGCAGAAAATAAGCAGCTCAACAATACCTTTTACTCAACACCAACAGATACCACCATTTTCATGAGCATGTTACCTTTCCCACCACTATAAGTATAGGATTAGTACCCATAAAATCATCCAATGAGAAAAAGGAAGTAACACCCAATTAAAGGGCATCATATGGATTTACAGAAGAAAAAAATCACGTGGACAAAAAAAAATGAAGACTAACCAACCTTATCAGTTACCAAAGAAATGCCATTTTTCACCGGTCTGATTTACAAAAGTTAAAAAATAAAATAAAATAAAATAAAAACATGATAGTATCCAGTATGGCACTGGCACGAGGCAATGGCACTCTCATTCTGAAGGAAAAGTGTCAATTCTGAGAGGCTTGCTAAAGGTAATTCTGTGGTACACTGCACAGTTGATCCAACAATTCCATTTCTAAAAGTCTATAGCCTAAACTAAGTGAAGTGAAGTCACTCAGTTGTGTCTGACTCTTTGTGACCCTATGGACTGTAGCCCAACAGGCTCCTCCATCCATGGAATTTTCCAGGCAAGAGTACTGGAGTGGGTTGCCATTTCCTTCTCCAGAGGATCTTCCCAACCCAGGGATCGAACCTGGGTCTCCTGCATTGCAGGCAGATGCTTTACAGTCTGAGCCACAGGGAAGTTCTGCCTAAACTAGAGCATGGACAAAACATTACATAATGTTTACTGCACAACTGTCAGTAATGATGAAAAGCCAGAACCATACCCATCAATATATAAATGACTAAAATACAGTATAACGTATCTGAATAAATGCATTCCTTATGTAGCTGTGAAAGAATTTTTACTGAATGAAAACAAAGACCAGGTTTTATTGATAAAGGCAAAAAGCAAGTCACAGAATAAAATGTGCAGTATGATTACTAAAAATATATACAAATATACAAGGAAAGGTCTGAAAAGGGAAACATCAGTTTGGTATCACTGGCACTTTCTGATGGTGAATGACTAAGCTTCTAACTCCCCTTCCAGGGAAATCTGAGGATGCAGGAGGAAGAACTTCCTTCCAGGGTTCACACTTACACTTCATGGCTGTGCCAGTGGCCTGCCTCTCAGGTAGATACCTGATTCAAGGTGGGCCACAGTTCTGTCCCAGACACTTGATATTTGTAATGAAGTGGCACAAAGACCAGAAGTTATAAGACTAATAAAGTCATATCAAAATAGGAGTCCGGGATGGACATGTACACACTTCTACATTTAAAATGGATAACCAACAAGGTCCTACTATACAGCACGTGGAACTCTGCTCAACGTTACATAGTAGGCTGTGGGAGGGGAATTTGGAAGAGAACAGATACATGTATATGTATGGCTGAGTCCCTTTACTGACCACCTGAAACTATCACAACATTGTTAACTGGCTATACTCCAATATAAAATAAAAAGTTATTTAGGAAGTAATGCTTTCTAAAGGTTTTACAAATTTCTCGGGGCTGCTGAGTCTTTATTCTTTCTTTATTCTTCCTTGAGCTTACTGTTCTATGATGCTTTATAGTTTCCATGAGGTTATTCCAAAATCCTTTGAACTAAATAATAGGTGTGGCGGCGGGGGGAGGGTCAATACTACCTAGTATCAATTTCTATCTTTTGCAGCTAAAAGACTGCATGAAGGCAGGACAATGTGGGACACAAAGAAAGTGAAGTGAATATTGCTTTTATTCATACACCAATCTATTGCTTAAATATTTTATAAAAATTAACTCCTATGTTATTCTTATATCTTACCCAGAAAGAGCCATTGATTTTAATAACAATCAAAGTGTTCCTTTAGAAGCTTTTTCACAACTTCTATTAATATTTTGAGGATTATATCTTATAACCTGGCTGTGACTTAATGCCAATTTGCATGATTATCTTGTCTTCGTGAATTACATCTATTTAACATTAGCTTACCAAGAATTTAAAACTGCACTTCAATGTATCAACAATCTCAAAGTCTAAAATTAATCTATCCAAAATATCATCCTCACCTTAGAGATAAATTATTAAGCCCATGAAATTTTAAAAACTGAAATACCTCCAATAGTGGCATTTCCTCAGTGATTATGGGATCTAGACGTCGATCAGGACCATATTTAATAGATGTTTTCTCTTCTTTTGTGTTGTTAAGTCGAGGACCTTGGATTTCTAAATCCTGTCTCCCTCGGACTGACATACTCAAGGAATGTTTTCCTGAAATAAAAAACAGTCAATGCCCTAAAATAATTTGATAAGTTAACTGACATCAAGTTAGTCTGAATATATGAGTACTATATGTTTCAGATTATTTCTAGAAGAACTCTAGACAATTACCAATTAACATGGTTAAGCAAAGAACTAAGCATATTTTATGTTCATGCTTAACCACATCTACTACTGCATGCTGCTTAATTTCTCATTTTCTTAGGATTTACTTACTTTGCAGAAGGACTGCACATCATCAAATGGAAAGTTTCTGAAACCTATAATCAACCAAAAAGATCTATCTGACAGAACAGCTACTCATATTCAAATATATATACTAATCTGAATTATTTCTGGATTATAAATATACTTTCTCAACAGACTTAACTGCACCTTCTCAATAGACCACACAAAGCAAATTATAATATACATAGCTTTCTCAAAATTAAACTCATTTAATATGCATATGAGCTTTTCCCCAAAAGCTTCCACACATTGCATGTAGGTGTGAAAACAGCGAAGGCATACAAGTGTATTTCCTGCAGGAATACTTAGAACCTATCGCTCAGTCACATCCAACTCTTTGTGACCCCATGGACTGTAGCCTACCAGGCTCCTCCGTCCATGAGATTTTCCAGGCAAGTGTACTGGAGTGGGTTGCCATTTCCCTCTTAGCAGGAATACTTAGAACCTTTAATATGCCAAAGATCACTGTGATTTGCCCAGACCAGACGTACAAGGTAGCATTTCCATTACCTCATTTGACCCAGATCCCTATTAGCATTTTACACTAAAACCTCACTTAAATTCTACTATAAGGTACAATTTAATAGTTAATTCAGGGTCTCCTCCCACTAACATCATAAAAAATTTATAAACTATTTATTAATGCATATATTTGGTACCTTGAATGAAGTAATTAGCTATAATTTATTGACAATCATAACTTTGTGGTACAAAATTAAAATCATAGGTTAGTGGGAAAGGAAAGAAGCTTCAAAAAGTTTTTAACACTCAGCTAACTTACTTAAAATATTTAAAATTAGCAGTATTATTTGTAAAAGCATTTTCTCTGGTGTTTGTCAACCAAGAATTATACATGTACTAAAATGCAGAATACTATACATCTAGTGGCAATTTTTTGTTTTATAATTTTTGAATTCTTATGGATTCATTCCATTTCGGCATACGTTCCAAAAAAAAGTTTTACTAAATTACCCTAGATATGCAAGCAAGGAGAAATTTCAAACTAAATTTTAAAAGAACCAACAGATTTTCCAAGTGGTCCCAAAAGATTTTTCAATATTAATAATCAGCTTTTATAAATGCTAAATTCAAGTCTGCTGACTATTAATTTGTTAAAAATAGACAGCTATTAAAATGAAGAGACAGAAGTGAGGAATTTTATAGTAAACCCTCTCTCTAGACTTGTCAACTTAAACTCAAATAGCAACACACAATTATTACAAAATAATATGAGAATGGTTTCCTGAAATTAAAGGGAAAACAAAAGGCAAGCTGAGTTAAACATGTATCTGGTAGTTTTACTCTTTGAAAATCTGTAAAACTTACCAATTCTGGGGAACCAAGAATACCAGTGTAACTCTAATCCCTTCTCTTTTTACAAAACAGACGACAGAATTTTATGTCATTTCACATTCAGGGATGTGAAAACACTGGTCCTTGGTTCACTCTATGTTTTTATAAATATTCAAAAAAAAAGAGACTATCCTAGTCAACCTTCGTACTGGCAGCAGACATCTCAACCAATGGTTAGAATACAGTAATTTAGAATTTACTAAATGTGGGTCGGTAACAAAGAAGGAAAATACATAGGGTAGAACCACAGAATTATCAAAAATACATCAGAAGGGAATAAAGTTGTTTTTTTTAAGCAATGGCAGAGTTAAAAATAATCCAAATTATTCATTCTTTCATCTGATTAAATGTCTTTAATTAAAGGTACTTTAAACCTAATTTTACAATAGCTCATTTCTCAATTTATTCTAAGGAGAGTTACTTATTAACTTCTAATTGTTCAGCAATGCTATAACTTTACCTGTGTGACATCCAGGAAGAGCACCAATGCCATCTACTGCCACGGAGCCCTGAATGGTGCCAAGATTATACACAACTCCCAGAATATGCAGCTCCCCTATGTGATGGGGAAAGAGCTTTAGCCTTGCCTGTGGAGATATTTAAGTCACTCTTATTACCTGTTTTCACAATATCTTAAATAGTGCAACACCTAAATTCTGTAATATTACAGAAATAAAAGCTCAGACCTAAATTTACTTAATTCTCAATTGATTTCTCCTACTGGAAAGCATTTTCTTCAAAAGAAACTTTCTAAACTCAGTAATTATAGGCATCACAACTTTTAATAAAAACCAAGATATTCTGGCTAACCAAATATCATATGAAATTACAACACTCAACCCAAGAAGAAAGCAAAACCTTTTTTCACCAGGCTTCTTAGGAAATTAACAAACTCAAAACCACTGCAAACCTACTTTCCCAACCTATTTCCTTCTATGTAATTCCAGTCTCCTAAAATGATAAATCTTAATTTTTAAGAAAACTAGAAAACAAACTAAATAAACAGGCTTTAAAAATCTGTTGTCATCTTACTTTTAGAAAGGTGTGACAGAAAAGTAATAAAGTAATTACCACTTTAGATTCTTCACTATTAATTAAGAATTCTGAAATAACTTCAGTTCCGATCATTTCAGGTTCACCTTTTACCTGAAAAGTAAATTATGTAAAATATACATTCTAACGAATAAAGTATCAGATTATTAACACTGCTACATATCAACACTTAGCAACAATGACAATAGCTATAGTTAGCATTTATTAGGTTTTTACTATGTGCTAAGCAATACACAAAGTGAACAACATAACAAAACAGAAACAGTTACAGATACAGAGAAGAAAGAGATAGTTGTCAGAGGGGAGGGGCTGGAGGCAAGAAAGAAATAGGTGAATGCGATTTAAGAGTACAAACTTCCACTTACAAAGTAAATGAGTCACAAGAAGTGTACAAAGTGGGGAATATAGTCAATAACTCTGTAACATCTTTGAACGGTGACAGACGACAACTAGACTTATGGTGATCCTTTTGAAATGCACAGAAATAGCGAATCACTGGGTTGTGTATCAGGAACTACTGTAGTGTTTTAAGTCAACTGTACTTCAAAAACACAGAACAAATGAACAACCTCACAGAAAAAGAGACTAATGTGTGGTTATCAGAGGTAGGAGTGGGGAGAGGAGCAACTGGATAAAAGCAATCAAAAGGTATAAGAAACAATGTAAAGCATAATAAATATAATTAATACTGCTGCATGTGATATAAGAAAGTTATTGAGAGAAAATCCCAAGTGTTCTCATCACAAGGAAAAATTCTATATTCTTAATTTTCAACAATAAGCATAATATCATACATTTTGTAATGAGGGAAAATAAGCATAAGAAAAGAGTAAGTTCAGCTTCCTGAACAAAAACTGCTGAAATGTTATTACAGCATTTGTTAGACTATTACTGAAACATGCTTATTACAAATACCTTTTAACAACTTACTAGTTCTTTAACTTCTTCATTATCCTTTCCACTGACATATTTAGGTTGAAACTTCCAAAGCAATGACAAATCAGTCAAAAAAAGTGGAACTTTCAAAGGGTTTCTAAAAGCCACTTCCACTGTTATTGGTTCTGTTAAAGAAAAGCCTTAATTAGTAATTTTAATAAACCATACACATCACCGTATGCTTCAATTCTCTGAACATACCTTGCTTTCCAAGCTCTGCATTTCTGCCTGGACTGTCTTTTATCACTTTGTAAATGTGCATTTATCCAGGATACAGTTTTGAAATTACCTTCCTTAGAAGATTTCCCCCATAATTTCTCTGTACTCTTTGTCATTCTCCCTTCTACATTCCAAAAGCACATTGAATATTCCTGTATTAAAGTCCCCATTGCTTGGTTTTATAAATACAGCTCACTGAGTAATAAGTACTCAATTTACTTCTGTATCCTCAGCCTCCAGTCATATTTGGCATGCAAAAAATTACCGTGAATACGCTGTAAGCAAAACAAACAAGTAAAAAACCATGAATAAAAATTCAAGTGTATCACCTTCCACAACTGCAAGGGGAAACCTTGAGTTATCTGAATAACTGTTCAAACAATATTGCGTGGGATGGAAGTTGGATGGAAGGACTCCTCTGTTGACCACAGACACCACTTGTTCCTCAAGTTCTCGCCACTGCTGAGAGGATTCAGAGTCATATTCTTGATCAAGACTTACATGAGTAGCTGCTTGCTTTTCACCTTAAAAAAAAAAAAGTGTCACTATTAAATACACATATTTATTAACACCTGTTTTCAAATGAAATATATTTTAAATAAAAATCTAAGGTATTCAAATAAATACATATACCATTCTTGCCTATTTTCAATTTTATCTGAGAGAAAAATACTCTCTTACTAATTCTAGCCTAATTGGAACTTAACTTGTAATACTGATGCTCTTTTCCTTCTGACTCTGACAGAATATATTTTCTTAGTGCCCACAATTTTATATGAAATACTTCAAACATATGGACAAAATATGGAAAATATTATAATACTTGTGTATCAAAATTTAAGAAATGTCAACTCTGTTATAAGAAACCAAATTTTATTTAAAAAATACAATAAATGTTACAGATGAAGCTGATTTCCTCTATCTCACCTTCCCCAATTCTCTCTCCTTCATCTCTTCCACTGGTACCAATTCTTCCCAGAGCTATTCCAAAGTTGAAGTACAGCATGCACATTCATAATTTTTGCTTTTACTTTATCAAATATGAGTGTGTATATAAACAACTCATAGAACTAGCTTATATGTTTGAAATTTATATAAATGGAATAACTTGATTCATCCTTCTGCAACTTTTTTCATTCAACTTTATGTTGTGGGTATTATCCACATTGAAATACACAGAACTCATTCCCTCACATCCTACAGCATGAAAACCAATATATGAACATACCAAAATCTATCAATTCATTCTGTTTCACTTTTTTTACTACTAAAAACAATGCTGCTACAAGTACCCTGATAAATATTTTAAATAAAATACTAAATTAGCTCTCAAAAAGAAACATACTAAGCTCCAATTAAAAAGACTTAGAATTACAAAGTTAAACATGCATAAAGACCTTTAATATAAACTTTTGGCCCAGTATCGTCATTCTAAAGCTCAATGCTAAGGAAATAATCCTGAATTTTGAAAAAGTCTCAGAACAAGAAAAGCAATTATATTGGCAACTGTTCGCTACATCTGTGTATACTTGAAATTTTCCATAATAAAATGTTAAGATTCATCCACAAAGATGTCCAGTACAACTTAGATTTCATATAATCAAAGAAGATGGACACCATATGGTAAATATTAAAATACTTTATATCCATTGAATGCATTACAACCATTAAAAATGTTTATCAAGATTATATAATCTGTATGAGAATTTCTTTATATTATGTGAGAAAAGTCATGATACGTACAGCTATTTTGTTGTTATTGTTTTTAGATTTTAAAGCTGGAAGGAAAAGCACCAAAGTAGTAGGTTCAAGTGGCAGGATGACAAGATGATATGGTATAGTTGTTTACTTTCAAATATTCTTTAACAATTACATATTATTTTTTAGTGGAAAAGATGAAATAACTCCAAAGAAAAAGTCACTCGGTAACAAAGCCAAATTAAACTTTACTAACCATCTGCTGGTCGTCTGTCATGGCCAAAGAAAACCCGGGTTGCTGAACTGCTAATGTATGGCAAAGGAAGCTGCGGTAAAGGGCCATCTGGGGAGAGCTGACTCACATTCTGAGAGAGACACAAAAGACGAAAGGAATTTCTGAGAGAACTCTCATCCGTCCTCATTTTTAATACACAAGCTATTAAAGGCATGTTAAGAAAGAATATTAAGAATCACTCAGTTCAGTTCAGTCGCTCAGTTGTATCTATCTGACTCTTTGCGACCCCATGAACTGCAGCACACCAGGCCTCCCTGTCCATCATCAACTGCCGGAGTATACTCAAACTCATGTCCATTGAGTCGGTGATGCCATCCAGCCATCTCATCCTCTGTCGTCCCCTTCTCCTCCTGCCCCCAATCCCTCCCAGCATCAGGGTCTTTTCCAATGAGTCAACTCTCCGCATGAGATGGTCAAAGTATTGGAGTTTCAGCTTCATCATCAGTCCTTCCAATGAACACCCAGGACTGATCTCCTTTAGGATGGACTGGGTGGATCTCCTTGCAGTCCAAGGGACTGTCAAGAGTCTTCTCCAACACTACAGTTCAAAAGCATCAATTTTTCGGTGCTCAGCTTTCTTCATAGTCCAACTCTCACATCCATATATGATCACTGGAAAAACCATAGCCTTGACTAGATGGACCTTTGTTGGCAAAGTAATGTCTCTGCTTTTTAATATGCTGTCTAGGTTGGTCATAACTTTCCTTCCAAGGAGTAAGTGTCTTTTAATTTCATGGCTGCAATCACCATCCGCAGTGATTTTGGAGCCCAAAAAAACAAAGTCTGACACTGCTTCCACTGCTTCCCCATCTATTTGCCATGAAGTGATGGGACCAGATGCCATGATCTTAGTTTTCTGAATGTTGAGCTTTAAGCCAACTTTTTCACTCTCCTCCCTCACTTTCATCAAGAGGCTTTTAGTTCCTCTTCACTTTCTGCCATAAGGGTGCATATGTCATCTGCATATCTGAGGTTATTGATATTTCTCCTGGCAATCTTGATTCCAGCTTGTGCTTCTTCCAGCCCAGCATTTCTCATGATGTACTCTGCATAGAAGTTAAATAAGCAGAGTGACAATATACAGCCTTGACATACTCCTTTTCCTATTTGGAACCAATCTGTTGTTTCATATCCAGTTCTAACTGTTGCTTCCTGACCTGCATATAGGTTTCTTAAGAGGCAGGTCAGGTGGTCTGGTATTCCCATCTCTTTCAGAATTTTCCACAGTTTATTGTGATCCACACAGTCAAAGGCTTTGGCATAGTCAATAAAGCAGAAATAGATATTTTTATGAAACTCTCTTGCTTTTTCAATGATCCAGCAGACGTTGGCAATTTGATCTCTGGTTCCTCTGCCTTTTTTAAAAGCAGCTTGAATATCTAGAAGTTCACGGTTCACATATTGCTGAAGCCTGGCTTGGAGAATTTTGAGCATTACTTTACTAGTGTGTGAGATGAGTGCAATTGTGCGGTAGTTTGAGCATTCTTTAGCATTGCCTTTCTTTTGGACTGGAATGAAAACTGACCTTTTCCAGTCCGGTGGCCACTGCTGAGTTTTCCAAATTTGCTGGCATATTGAGTGCAGCACTTTCACAGCATCATCTTTCAGGATTTGAAATAACTCAACTGGAATTCCATCACCTCCACTAGCTTTGTTCGTAGTGATACTTTTACTTAATATGAGTCATAAAATTTTACGAGGAAGAACTTTAGATATATTTATTTTGGTCTAAGAGAATCTCTTTAAGGTTACTCAGCAAGTTAGTTCTCTCTGGATGCTAAAGGTCCAAATATTATTTTTGTATGTATTTTACTTCCTAGACTCATTTTAGCATTCTATCTGCCACAATTCTTATCCATATGATTTCAAATTAATAAAGTAAAAACGGGCAATTATATTCTGCAGGACAGGTAAACTATTTACTATTCATGGACCCTGAGGAAAAAATTACAACTTTCCATTTTGTCCACAAAATAATGATTTAAATTTGCTATCCTCCTGTCTCAGTGAAATATGTTTTCTTCCTATTAATTTTTCTGCACTACATCCAAGTAATGTCTACCTCTCACAGATCCATATCTACTCATCTTTCATAGGAAACAGAGAGGAATGTACTTTTTCAAAGAATGGTACAATAACCCAAATGCTGTAAAACCACTTATAATTCAAAAATACATAAGAAAACAGCCCCAAAAGCTCATGGTATTTTTTAAGATTCCAAATACAGCCACAAATCAAATGTTTACTGTAATATTAAAATTCTCTTTTATGAGAACTGTAGAAGGGCAATGTAACTCAGATTTATGACCAAAAAGCCTAGTCTGCTACATTTTATTATGAAAGATAATTATATGCAGTCTAATAAAATAAGACTCTTACTAAATAGTACTGAAAATGAGTTTTGCTGAAAATAATGACAAATATAATTTTAATATCCACTGCTGAAAATAAGTATTCACCTTGTAAACATAAAGATATTCTCTGAGGAAGGCCCCTTGTTGAGCAGCAGATTGTTTACTTTCATTGATTAAAATATGCCTGAAAGCAGACACAGCATTGTCCAGTTGCCTGAGAGTGTAGGACTGTCGCCCAATGGTGAAGTTAATATGATCCTCTGCAAGAGACCAGCCTTTTCCTTTGTAAACTTGCATGGCTTGACAATAGCAGCGTAAAGCATGTTTTTTCTGTAAGAAAATATATAAAGCAAAGTATTACAATCCAAATTTCTCTGGGACTGGGCAAACACACACATACACACACACACACACACACACACACAATCAAATAACTAGTAACGAGTTCTTCTTCCAACAGAGACTGGGATGATGAAGAAAATGAAACTAAACTTTGCAATGATCGCTAAACCAAGAGGTCTTGAAGCAGACAAGCAGCTGCTCTGTCCAAGGGTAAGAAGTCTGAGAAGTCACAGATGATACTGACTTTGTGAAAAACCATCTGGGATTTTCCAGAGCAGCAGCACGTGGAGTCATAGATCAGTGAGAGACTTGCTGTTAGTTTGCAGCTGAGAGCTATCTCATGAAGTTTAAATTTGGTTAGTCAGCTCTCTATACCACTGCCCTGGACTAAACAGTAAAGTGTCTTCTAATTCTACACATATGAGTATGAAGGTATCAGTTCAGCTCAGTTCAGTTCAGTCACTCAGTTATGTCCGACTCTTTGCAACCCCATGAATCGCAGCACGCCAGGCCTCCCTGTCCAACACCAACTCCCCGAGTTTACTCAAATTCATGCCCATTGACTCGGTGATGCCATCCACCCATCTCATCCTCTGTCGTCCCCTTCTCCTCCTGCCTCTAATCCCTCCCAGCACCAGGGTCTTTTCCAATGAGTCAACTCTTCGCATGAGGTGGCCAAAGTATTGGAGTTTCAGCGTTAGCATCAGTCCTTCCAATGAACACGGAAGACTCATCTCCTTTAGGATGGACTGGCTGGATCTCCTTGCAGTCCAAGGGACTCTCAGGAGTCTTCTCCAACACTACAGTTCAAAAGCATGAATTTTTCAGTGCTCAGCTTTCTTCACAGTCCAATTCTCACATCCATACATGACCACTGGAAAAACCATAGGTTCGACCAGACAGACCTTTGTTGGCAAAGTAATGTCTTTGCTTTTTAATATGCTATCTAGGTTGGTCATAACTTCCCTTCCAAGGAGTAAGCGTCTTTTAATGTCATGGCTGCAATCACCATCTGCAGTGATTATGTGTGTACATGTATTTGTTGGTCTTTGATAGTGACAGTGTTTGGCATTCTTTTCTTCTGCCTAAGGCTGTATCCTGCCACACCCATGAGTAGGTGTTAGGCTTAATTACTATTAATGCCACCCTCTGAACTCAGACAACCTCCATTCTAAAAATGGGATTTGGTATTCCTGGCAGCTCAAGACCCTGTCTGCAATGCAGGGAACCTGGGTTCAATCCCTGGATCGGGAAGATCCCCTGGAGAAGGAAATGGCTACACACTCCAGTATTCTTGCCTGAAGAATCTCACAGACGGAGGAGCCTGGAGGGCTACAGTCCATGGGGTCACAAAGAGTCGGACCTGACTGAACAACGAACTTTTTTTCACTTTTTCACCAAGAAAAAGGTTTCTCTCCACTAAACCTTTTGCTTCAGAGAAAATTCTTATACCCACCCTCTACCTGGGTAGATTAACAAAATCTGTATCATTTTCATCCAGAATTGGTCAATTTTTTAAGGAAATGTTTTCTTGATCAAGAGGTAATTAAGGCAAATCAAAATCAAAATCAAAATCATCACAGCATGCAGTGAGAACACAGTCTCTTCTTTGTGATACTCCTACAAATATACCTGATTTGAATCTCAGGATGAAGAAACATTCAACAAGCCTAAATGGAGGCACATCTCTACAAAATAACTGGCCTATCGTCATCAGAAGTGTCAACACCGTAAAAGTCAAAGAACCCTCTGACAGGATCCTTCACTATACAACTACCAAAACTTGAATAGGGTCTGAGGATTAGAGAGTAATACTGTATTAAGTGCTAAGTCTCGACTGGCATTGTTGTTTTACTGTTGTACAGGAGAAAAGAATTTTGTTTCTAAGAAAGACGAAATATATCCTAAAGTATTGGGAGGGTACTGGGGCACCAGGTAGACAACTTAACTCCCAAATGGCTCAGGTAAACAAAAGTCTCTGAACTGTACTTGAAACTGTTCTATAGGTTTGAGATCATTTCAAAATAATTTTTAGTGATGTTTCTTAAAAACAAAACAAACAAAAAAAAAATCCCAATCTCCATATTGCATTTAGTAAAGGAACAAATAAATACTGAATCTTCAAAACTGAGAGATACAGAGAAACAATAAAATGTGTCTAAAAGTGTCAAGTTCAAGTGCATTTTTTAGGATGTCTTGGAAAAGCATCTAAAGAGATTTAAGAGGTAACAAGGATTTAAAGTTTGCCTTTCAAAGTAATAGAAAGATCATCCAGGGTATACTGGGCATAATCAGAAACAGCTCTTCAGCACTTTAATTTTTTTAATACTGATTATAATGTTGGTTCTCTTTTTAAATACCTTTTACTTGTTAATATTCTTAATGGAAAAAAATTGAACTATAAACAATTTCTGGGGATAAGATAAGCAATTCAGCATGAACTTGCAATCACAGAGGACTGAAAAATGACATCACTATATACATATAATCTCCTCTATGCTCCACACTCATCTCTGTCAACAGCCACATCTGTTTTTAATACAAATGTCATGAAAAGTTTTGGAGCTTCTCAGAAACAACTTGGCCTGAGTCAGAATTATGTGCACGATGAGCACATAAGGAAGACACTGTTCTTGACCAACTTCAATGGGACATATATTTGCTTTTCTAACAGGTCTGCATATTTCAGATTTCTACTATTTGAGAAAGCAATCCCCTGGGTTCAAGGTATACAGGTCACAAAACAGCAAACCAGCTACCTTGGAATCATTAACTCCAAAAGATAACTACAGTTAAAGATGATTATAGGCCAGAGAGCAAATGTATCTCAACCTACCAAAATGTAGCATTTTTAACATGCCATGCACTTCCTAAAGGCAATATGCCCTGTACCTTTAGAAGGTAAATACAGGATCCAATGACATCATAACCACAAGTGAAATCATTCACAAAAGTGGACAAAGATGCAGGAAAATGACAGAACCATTCCTAGTGGGGCATATAATTTTTCTTCCAGCTTAACATATTTTGTAGAATTCTTTAATAGAACACTTCAAGTAAAGATAAACAACGGGATAGTATGTTTCAGATTCATTTGTACTAACTATGGAAAATGGGCTGTGAAAAATCAGAGCTTTTTTATTTTTTTCCTCACTTCAGAACCTGAGAAATTCTAATCCTAAAGTACATAAAATTATTATAAAGACTTAATTTCATAAATATTTTTACAATTTTGTATTTACTATAAAGCAAGTTCACATATTTTCTAACTTCCCATTTTCCAAAAGTAAAGGAACTCAATCTTGAAAAGTTGATTTTTATAAATCATGACATTCTTCCATGAAATTGAGAGTAATTTTGAACACCTTTCCTTCTTTGCACCTTTGAATTCACACTGGCATGTTTTGGTTATCACAGACTTTGAAAAAGCAATGTTCATAAAAATTCATATTAATTAAATTCAAAAAAATCCTCATACTCTCTGACTAGATTAAAAAATTCCTTAAGAGACAAGACCATGTTAGTTTTACAAGTATAAGCTCAGCTCCTGCAGAGTGCTTGGAATATACAGATGATTACTAAGCCCACATTTTTATGTATACTTATAGCAAACCACAATGGACAGAGAAGCCTGGCAGGGGCACAGTCATGCAGTCCATGGGGTTGCAGAGAGTCAGACACAATTGAGCACGCACAGACTCAAATGACCATATCTCCGGTGCTATTACCATTCTCCACCTCAAGAAAGCTCCCTCCAGCTAATGTTTAAAAGGACTACTGGGGGCCAGAGAATCGCTCCAAATTAATAAAGGTCTCTTCCAACCTAGCTGCTCCCAGCGAGAAGAAATAGGTGACTTCTACCTATTAAATATTTAGCAAATACCATTAAGAGATACTCTGAGAAACAACAGAAGACCAGAGTTGAAGTAGGGAAGGTACAATCACCTTTAAGAAGGATTAAAGTTACTTAAGTGCAGTATATCTGGCCTTCACAAATATCATTTAGCCTCACAGAAATTTGGGCAAAATCAAAAATTTTATAAATTAAAAAAAAAGGCTCAAAGACATAACTTTAAAAAACTTAGACTTGTTTAAATCCAAATCTCATGTCCTTACCAATGTAACACATTACCTCAGTACAAAATTTAGTTTCATCTTAATAATTTTAAATAAAAAAATTAGCAAATAACATATTTATAAAATAAACAAGCTACAACAAATAAAAATTAAAATAAATAACAAATTATCTTCTGTTTAAAGCCAGCGCACTCACCTGCCCTGCTTTACTGAACCGGTGGCCTGCCAATATCATATGAAATGCATATTTTCTAACCATGGGACTCTTCATGTTTATAAAGCAATGTGCCGCCTGTTCCAAAAGAAGTGCACTTCGAAGATCAGAATCCTATTGAATATTTAAAGAAAAAGAGGGTTAACTTCACAAAATTACAGAGTTAATTAGTGAAAAAACATTTTCTTTCTTAAAATAATATACAGCGTATCCAATATTTAACTTGGTAGTATCTAAGGGCAGAGATCAATAGACAATCCAGTCTTGATGATTCTTTCTTCCAATAAGCACAAATTTTAAAAAAGTTCAAAGAAGTCTCTACCATGAAATACTTTCTTTCACTTTACATAAAGTCAAAAGTCTGGCTGTGAAATGCACCACGTAATAAATCTGTGAAGAAATGTGACCCCTTTTCAAATGGCAAAGAAAGATCATCAACCGAGAGTTTAACGCAGGTATACTGACTCAAACCAGAAAACGGAGTACAGAATAAGATTCAAATCTAATGTCTTCTGGAAACTGATCTGTGACATGCAGTAGCCTATTTCTATTCATCCAATAAAAGAAGAAAGCTAAAACAGAATGTATGTAAATCATTAAATAATCAAAGGTTACTTTATCCTCTATAAAGGTTTACTATACTTAAAAGGAATTCTCAGTTTTGCTCTAGTTTAAAACAGCCAAGATAACTGCTTTTCATTAAAACATCCAGAAGGTTTCCCCTTCAAAGATTATCACCTACTATTAGTGTATTAGTAAATGATACGACTCAAATTAGTTTCCACTGCAACTGACTTACAACAGAGTCTACAAAAACCACATTGTACATTTATAGCCTCACCATAAGGACAATCTTTCAACTGACAGAGCCATCATCACTTGACAAATAACTGAGAAAGCACGGAAGGTTGCTGATCAAGCATCAACAACATTTTCACCAAACTTTCTCTAGCTTTTCAGCTATTCTCAAGCTGAACTTACCATGCCCTTCCATGTGTTCTGCTGCCATTATTTTCCCCAGGGAAAGTTGAAAACAGAAAACATTGACTTTAAATGCAATAATTCCAACAAATTATAGTCACATCAAAAAGTGTTCATAGACTATTGATTACTGCAACTATCTCCATAGCAATCATAAAATTATATTAGAGTGGAAACATCTGAGGAAAAGCATTCAGTAGATGGTAGATAAGGAAGTATCTTTCTTCCCCACTTCATGCCTCATCTGACTGACTCAGGGATAACTACCATTACCAACATGGTGCTGGCCTGTTTCATTTCTCTCATCCTCTCTAAATACATATGTATTTATATATTAAATGCCACAGTTTTGATATTCATACTCTCATACAGAAATGGTATTACTCAGAGTATTATCTCGCTTTTTACATTAGTACCATCAACATCTTTCCAAAACATCTACATCTCTCATTTCTTTTAAAGCCACTTTGTATTCCATTATATAAATGTATAATTTATTAATATAGTCTTCATTTGACTGATTTAATATTGCCACAAACTTTTACTACTACAAAAAACTCTTCAATAAACATCTTTAAAAAATATTTTTTAATAACTATACAAATATTTTTATTAGACAAGTGTTTGGAAATAGAAGTGCTTAGTTAATGAAAGCTATGCATATACTTCAAATTTTAATCAATATATATGCATATCAGTACAAAAAAGGTCATACCAGTAAAAACTCCCAGAGAGCAAGAGTTTATTTTCTACTCTACCCAGCCAAAAGTAAGTTTTTAAGATTTTTCACCTTTTTCATAAAAGAAAAATAATACTTAATTCCTCAACTTAGACTTCTTTAATAGTAAGGCTGTTCATTTACCATATGTTTAGGGATCTTTGTACTTTTTCTGCAAACTGCCTGTTATGCCCATTTGTGAATGGGTTTTTGTGATTATCTAGTTTGTAAGAGCCCTTTGTACACTTAATCAATATTAAGCCTTTGTCATACATTTGCAAATAGTATTTCCCAGTTTTGCTATAAAAGAGTCTATTCTTTAGTAGTCAAACACACTATCTTCACTTTCATGGCTTCAAAATATTGCATCAAACTAAGAAAGAATGTTATCATTCCTATATTTAAAAATATGCTCTTCCGTATTTTCTTCAGTGTGTGTGCGTATGTATATTCAGTCACTCAGTCATGTCCGACTCTTTGTGACCCTATGGACTGCAGCCTGCCAGGCTCCTCTGTTCATGGAATTTTCCAGGCAAAGAATGGTTGTCAATTTCCTACTCCAGGGGGATCTTCCTGGCCCAGGGACCAAACCCACATCTCTTGCATTTCTTACAGTGGCAGGCAGATTCTTTACCACTGTGCACCTGGGATGCTCCATATTTTCTTTGAGGTTATTTCATTTTTTCATATTATAACTTAATCAAGCTATAATTATATTATGCAATGAATTAGATAGGAATCGGTTAATCAGGTGTCACAATACCATTCAGTGACTAATCTAACATTCCCCACTAATATGACACAATGACAGCCAATCATATGTAGCATTTAAATTCTCATTCTAAAAATATCTAGAACAAGTAGATTCCCTCTAAAACTACTTTGGAATTTAGGTTTCTCAATGGAGTCAGTTTAAGTCCAGTAAGTTTCTTAAGTTTATCCCCAGCAATGCACACACATCCACACACGCACACATGCATGCACACACAGAGCATACAACATCTTAATTCTCTACAAAGCTTCATTATCCTGCAAAACTTGGTGGGCAGCAATCCTGGACATTCTGATTAAAATAAGGAATATACCCTAGATAATTTTGGTGGTGTGTACATGATTCTAATGTACATCAATTGAGAACCAGGATAGTAAACCCTCAACAGTCTCCACTTTAACTGGACTGACCAACCCAAGAAAGACCTGGAAGTCCACAGCATATATTAACTTAGCTGAAGCAAAATATGCCTCCTGCGTTCAGTAAAGCTGCTTTCTGAGAGTCGATTTGCAGAGCTAAACACTGCACTTACATCTCACTGCGGCTTTGTTCTTTGTTTAGTTCCTGTCTTACAGAGACACCTAAAGTAGGAAAACATTGCTTTGAAACCAAAAAATGGCCCCGAAAAGAATGGTAACTGTCATCAGTACTGACGGAAGAAAAAGGGCAGAATGTCACAGAGGGATAGTTTTATCCAGAAAGGAGAGGCTTTGAATGTTTGAAGTATACAATTTTACTTCAGTGGCAGTTCACAACCATGCTGTGACAAGGCCACCATGCATGCTCTGTGAGGAACTGAGAAAAGGAAAAAAACATGGTGCCACTTCAGCAAGAACTCCAGTCTGTGAACTCTGCCCGCAACCAGATATAAAATCATCTGGGGTAGAGGCGTCAGTAAAAACTTAGATAAAAACACAGCTGATGAAGACAACAGCTGTACAAACTTCACTGAATCAGATCTCAAGGATGGCATGGCACTAAGATTTTCTTCCCTTGCATAATTGTGAAATTAATAGGAAAGGTGCTAACAGCTGACCAACTTACCACAGGAACAGAACAGTTCCTCCCAAGCTGGAGAAACTTATAGCAAATTGCTGCTATCACAATACCTCTGATGAGCTGATCTATTTGTATTTAAATGAAGTAACACACAAAAAGCATTACATGACCAGAATAAACGTTCAACACAGAAATACAGACACAAGTAAGGGGAAAGCATCATGCTTTAAAGCACCAAATTTAGACATACTACCTATGTGCTGATAAATGTGACATGTTTTATCATTAAGCTGTATTTACTCTGCCATGCTGAAAATCCCAGGGCACGACACAAGAGTAAGATCCACTTGCGCATAAACTTACAGTGCAAACAACAAACTCAAAGCTCAACTCTTTCATCAAGGCATCACAGCTGTCAAGTGCTATAATGGTATTAACAAAAAACTAGGAAAAACAATTCCTGAGTGTCAAGACTATGTGACTCAGTTCTCTACCCTCAGGATAAACGGACTTGTCATTTTATACAGATTTTCTAGTAAACAAAAGCACAATAAATATAAATTATTAGCTAAAATTTAATAATCTCAGATACATTATGCCTAGCAGTCTCTACTTTCAAGTTACTTCAAAGAATTACCTGAAAAGCACAGTAGAAAAGGCCACTAAAAATCACAACTTCGAGGGAAATACATTCACCCCCATCTTTCACCCCAAAGCAATAAAAGACAATGATAAATTTTCTAGAATTTCATAACAAAATAAATCATCCAGGTTTGAAAAAGGGTTAAAAAAAAAAAGAGTTGGAAAGAAAAAACAGTGAAAGAAAATAATGTTACAATGAGACACAAGAATCTGCTCTAATAAAATAAATTTTATTCCAAGCTTCTAAACCATAAACTCCTTTTACAGTCACCGATAATTCATTCCTAGGCTGAAAAACATAGCCAACATATTCAAACCTAAGTTAAGATTATTTATTAAAAGAGAGAACATCAACACACTCAAGAGCCTATACTCAACTCTACCAAACAGTTTAATGTCTGACAACTGTTCGTATTGGTCAGTGTCCACACAGTGTCAATAATAAAATATTTTTAGTATCATCCCTTAGTCTACTTAGTTGTATCCTAAAGAAACCTTTTTAGAATAGTTAATGGTTCAGCTCAACAAACATCTGTAAACCATATACCATGTGTCAAGCCCAGTGTTAGCCACTAGGGAAAAACAAAGTTGAAAGCAACAGTTTCCTATCCTCAAGAAGCTAACAGCTTAAACATAAAATTTCAATATATGATATGTCAGGTCTCACAGCATATAAGAAGGCAGGACAGACACACTGAGGACAACCCGGGTACCATCTGGAGGATCTAATTGCTATCAGAACCACCGAACTGAGGTGAAGAAAAGATGAAATGGGACGAAGTCCAGGAGAAGGACATTAAGGACACAAACCAGGATAGTAACAGGAGGGATTTTAAGAAGAGAAAGATAAGTGAAATATTTGAAGTTATAAAAAGAACACATATTAAGAAGTTAAAAAAATCCTCTGTGTCACTAACAGTATAGAAGACTATAGGAGCATCTCAAATAGTTTCTGCCTTGAGCAAATTAGGAGCTGGTTGGCTACAATTTAAGATCACGATCTACAAAGTATTAAGTTTAGTTATTGATATGTGGACTCAGAGGTGCATTGGAAACACTTGAGTAGGTGAGTCTAAAAGGCAGTTGGTCATTCAAATCTAAAGCTCCAGGGCTGGAGAGATTTGAGAGTGAAAATCATAACTGTAAATAGATTACACAAAAGTAAAAAGGTACAACAGTCCAAGGATTAAAACCCTAGGGTAAGTTAATATTTAATGGGCAAACAAACGTGTCTGTTTTTTCTGTTCTTGAGCACTCATCTAAAATAACATGTCTTTAATCATATTACTGCCATTCTTTACAAGCCTATAGTCAATGCAACTTAATGTCTGTTGGAAACCTTAAATAGCAGCTATGAGCAGGTTTTTCCTCCTTCTGAAATATTCATAATATAGAATTTTTAAAATGCTTAGGATCATTTAACAAGTTCTTATGAATGAAAACAAAATTAAAAATTCCTGAATATTTTTAAGTATCGATTTTACATCAGGAATGATACATATGCATGCTGCTTTAAATACTGTTATCCATAAGTCAAAACCTAATTTACAGAAGACATACAATGCATGGCTGTGGTTAATAATAATGCAGACATAAAATGTGTAAATAAAATAAATCCTGTTTATAAAACACTGCATTTAAAATTAGTTCTACAAATTACTAAAGTAGCCAGGTTATAAATTCCAAAAAAGAGATGCCCCTTTAATTTTGTTCTGCATACCCTTCTCAAGAAAAAAGAAAATATTTAAAAAAAAATATGAAACAATACTAATTAAAACAAGTACTACACAGTTTTAGTACCTCACTGGTCAACCGTATTAGGAGAGCTGCAGCCTCTGAATATTTGCCTTGGCTTTTTAAGATTTCAGCACTAAGCAATACACATCTTTCAGCCAATACCATATTCCTAAAGAAAAAAAGTCAAGAAAAATATAATTAGCACTAGAATAATATTTTAGTACATCACAGTAACCATGAATTCAACAAAAATTTCCAATTCTAAAAGAAATCCATATCCCTGTTTTCCACTTACCAAAAACGCTTAAATAAAACAACTTCAAAGAATCTCTTAACTCATCAAAACTTTTTAACACTGTATAATTTTGCAGTTAGAATACAATATAAGGAGACTTCCCTGGTGGTCCAGTGGCTAAGATACTGCACTCCCAATGCAGGGGGCCCAGGTTTGATCCTTGGTCAGAGAACTAGACCTCACATGTCTCAACTAAAGATGCCATGTGCCACAACCAAAACCTGGCACAGTCAAATAAATAAATGTTTAAAGAAAAAAAAAAGAACACAATACAAAGTCACATTTCCTATATGAAAAACGCTAGAACATAACTGGAACCAGCAGTTAGTAAACAAAACCTGCTTTCAGACATAAAGGAAGGTAAACATTTCATCCAGATTTCTTTTCTTTCCTTACTGTAAACTCTGGTTATGTGTATTTCATTTTACTGACTACTTTTGGGAATAATGAGACATTTTCTCTCTGGTAGTACTATTGAGATGTTTCACCTGGAGATATCAAGGAACTAGTGCTGTCTAACTGTTCCTGACCAAAATCTTCTTTTTGAAAATATGAAATCAGTTGATTTTTCTCATGGACTTCTACCATCAAAAATCTAGAACTGGATTATTTATTCTTGAATAAAAGTAAATGAAAACTGAGAAGTTTCAAGATGGAATCCTTTTGTTCAGAAATACAGTTGACTCTAGAACAACTCAGGGAGTGGGGTTGCTGACCACCCAGTGTAGTCAAAATTACATGGCTGGCCCTCAGTACCCACAGTTACATATCCATGGATTCAACCAACCTAGGATTGTATAGTACTGTAGTCCATATTTTGTGAAAAAATTCACATATAAGTTGGACCCGCAGAATTCAAACCCATTTTGTTCAAGGGTCAACTGAAGCAGCGAAGTTCTCATTTTACTTTCTAATCCTTATATGAAAATACCACTTGGCCTTAAAATTACAACCAAGGATCACTAACTTGAAGGCCATTCTGAACAGTTATACTTTTAAAATACAATTCATTGCTTCCAAAATTACTGTAGTCACCTGCCATAAACTTTCTACAAACCATGATTTTTCTTAGAGGGTTGGTATTTATGACTATCTGAGAGTGTTTCGGGCTTCCCAGGTGGCTCAGTGGTAAAGAATCCACCTGCCAATACAGAAGACATAGGAGACACGGGTTCGATCCCTGAGCTGGGAAGATCCCCTAAAGAAGGAAATAGCAACCCAATCAAGTATTCTTTCCTGGGAAATCCCATGGACAGAGGTGCCTGGTGGGCTACAGTCCATGGGGTCACAAAGAGTCAGACATGACTTAGCAACTAAACAACAACAATTTACATATACTACAACATGCTCAAATAAGCTCAGTTCTTAAATAATCTTTAATAAACTTTATAAATCTTAACACAATTGTTTTATTTTTGTCTTCACATGTTCCCCCATATGACCAGTTATGAAGTGACAAGGCTACCACAAGTCTAGGACTTTACTGATTCTTTAAGCAACATTTTAAACTCATTGTGTCAAGCAGTGGAAGTGCTACAGATTCAAGCCCTTTCTAAAACACAATCCCTATCTAAAAGCAGAAACTGACATAAAACAGATAATGAATAGAGTACAACTGATCTTTGTTATGTTATGAGAGATAAAGGAGGGAAGAGAAAGCTTAAGAAATTTATCCGGATAAACAGGACTGCATCAGTTAAAAAGTGGGGCGTGGCATTCTAAGGGCATGGCTAAAGTATACTCTATTTCCTGTATTTTAAGAAAATTTATTTATATTTTAATATTTCTCAGATTGGGGAGATTCTTAAAATTGCTATGTATAACTAATGTAGTGTATGCCCAAATATCTATTACGTTTATGATAAACCTTACCAAACATGGTAACTTAGAAGGAAGATTATACAGTAAATGCATGACAGTTAAGAGTGTATTTAGAAAACGCATACAGTCTGTTGTGAACAGGAGGAAAAAACCAGACTGCCATATAGCTATCAGGGTCAATGGATATTTTAACTTTTGTCTTGCATATGAATCTCTCTCCAAAAGCTCTGGGCTTCATGAAGGCAAGGAAAATCTTCTGAGAGAGAGGACTTTATGAGAACTTTAGCCCTTTGCGGAGAAAGGACTTTAAAGGACTTCTGGCTTCCTTACTGCCTCCCTCTCATAGTTCTTCTATCTTTTGAAACTTTTTCACACTTCTTCGAAGGTTCCTCTTTGACAGAAGGCTGTTTCTTCTGCCAGAAACTTCCAATATAGTCTCAAACAATAATAAAAAGGGCAGGATTTGATACTGGCTCAACCATTTATTAACTGCACGCCCTTCAGTTCAGTTCACTCAGTCATCTCTGACTCTTTGTGACCCATGGACTGCAGCATGCCAGGCCTCCCTGTCCATCACCAACTCCCAGAACTTATCCAAACTTATGTCCATTGAGTCAGTAATGCCATCCAACCATCTCATCCTCTGTCGTCCCCTTCTCCTCCCGCCTTCAATCTTTCCCAGCATCGGGGTCTTTTCCAATGAGTCAGTTCTTCGCACTGTGTGGCCCAAGTATTGGAGTTTCAGCGTCAGCATCAGTCCTTCCAATGAATATTCAGGACTGATCTCCTTTAGGATGGACTGGTTGGGTCTCCTTGCAGTTCAAGGGACTCTCAAGAGTCTTCTCCAACACCACAGTTCAAAAGCATCAATTCTTCGGCACTCAGCTTTCTTCACAGTCCAACTCTCACATCCATATATGACCACTGGAAAAACCATAGCCTTGACTAGATGGACCTTTGTTGGCAAAGTAATGTCTCTGCTTTTTAATATGTTACCTAAGTTGGTCATAACTTTCCTTCCAAGGAGTAGGCGTCTTTTAACTTCACGGCTGCAATCACCATCTTCGGTGATTTTGAAGCCCCCCAAAATAAAGTCTGTCACTGTTTCTACTGTTTCCCCATCTATTTGTCATGAAGTGATTTGTCATGAAGTGATGGGACCAGATGCCATGATCTTTGTTTTCTGAATGTTGAGCTTTAAGCCAACTTTTTCACTCTCCTCTTTCACTTTCATCAAGAGGATTTTTACTTCCTCTTCACTTTCTGCCATAAGGGTGGTGTCATCTACATATCTGAGGTTATTGATACTTCTCCCAGCAATCTTGATTCTAGCTTGAGCTTCATCCAGCCCAGCGTTTCTCATGATGTACTCTGCATATAAGTTAAATAAGCAGGGTGACAGTATAGAGCCTTGATGTACTCCTTTCCCAATTTGGAACCAGTTTGTTGTTCCATGTCCAGTTCTAACTGCTTCTTCCTGACTTGCATACAGATTTCTCAATAGGCAGGTCAGGTGGACTGGTATTTCCATCTCTTTTAGAATTTTCCACAGTTTTTGGTGATCCACACAGTCAAAGACTTTGGCATAGTCAATAAAGTAGAAATAGATGTTTTTCTGGAACTCTCTTGCTTTTTCAATAATCCAAAGGATGCTGGCAATTTTATCTCTGGTTCCTCTGCCTTTTCTAAAACCAGCTTGAACACCTGGAAGTTCATGGTTCACATGCTGTTGAAGCTTGACTTGGAGAATTTTGAGCAATACTTCACTAGCGTGTGAGATGAGTGCAACCATGCAGTATTTTGAGCATTCTTTGGCATTGCCATGAAAACTAACCTTTTCCAGTCCTGTGGCCACTGCTGAGTTTTCCAAATTCGCTGGCGTATTGAGTATAGCACTTTCACAGCATCATCTTTTAGGAATTGAAATAGTTCAACTGGAATTTCATTCCCTCCACTAGCTTTGTTCAGTGATGCTTCCTAAGGCCCACTTGACTTCGCATTCCAGCATGTCTGGCTCTAGGTGAGTGATCCATACCATCATGATTATCTGGGTCATGAAGATCTTTTTTATACAGTTCTTCTGTGTATTCTTGCCACCTCTTCTTAATAGCTTCGCTTCTGTTAGGTCCATACCATTTCTGTCCTTTATTGAGCCCATCTTTGCATGAAATGTTCCCTTGGTATCTCTAATTTTCTTGAGATCTCTAGTCTTTACCATTCTGTTCTTTTCCTCTATTTCTTTGCACTGATCACTGAAGTAGGCTTTCTTATCTCTCCTTGATATTCTTTGGAACTCTGCACTCATATGGGTATATCTTTCCTTTTCTCCTTTGTTTATCACTTCTCTTCTTTTCACAGCTATTTGTAAGGCCTCCGCAGAGAGCCATTTTGCTTTTTGGCATTTCTTTTTCTTGGAGATGGTCGTGATCCCTGTCTCCTATACAATGTCATGGACACAGTCCACAGTCCCTCAGGCACTCTATCAGATCTAATCCTTTAAGTCTATTTGTCACTTGCACTGTATAATCGTAAGCGATTTGATTTAGGTCATACCTGAATGGTCTAGTGGTTTTCCCTACTTTCTTCAATTTAAGTCCAAATTTGGCAATAAGGAGTTCATGATCTGAGCCACAGTCAGCTCCTGGTCCTGTTTTTGCTGACTGTACAGAATTTCTCCACCTTTGGCTGCAAAGAATATAATCAGTCTGATTTTGGTGTTGGCCATCTGGTGATGTCCATGTGTAGAGTGTTCTCTTGTGTTGTTGGAAGAGGGTGTTTGCTCTGACCAGTGTGTTCTCTTGGCAAAACTCTGTTGGCCTTTGCCCTGCTTCATTCCGTACTCCAAGGCCAAATCTGCCTGTTACTCCAGGTGTTTCTTGACTTCCTACTTTTGCATTCCAGTCCCCTACAATGAAAAGGACACCTTTTTTGGGTGTTAGTTCTAGAAGGTCTTGTAGGTCTTCATAGAACCATTCAACTTCAGCTTCTTCACCATTACTGGTTGGGGCACAGACTTATATTACTGTGATATTGAACGGTTTGCCTTGGAAACGAACAGAGATCACTCTTGTTTTTGAGATTGCATCCAAATACTGCATTTCAGACTTTTGTTGACTATGAAGTTTACTCCATTTCTTCAAAGAGATTCTTGCCCACAGTAGTAGATATAATGGTCATCTGAGTTAAATTCACCCATTCCAGCAAGTTAAACTCTTTTGTTTCAATCTCCTTGCCTGTAGAATGCAGTAATAATAGTATCCACCGTTTCATATGTTTGTTGTAAAGAATAAATGAGCAAATAAATTACTTTGGCACAGTGGTAAACACTGAGTGCTATATCAGTGTTAATCTTTATTACTAGTGCTGCATTCTAAACACATTATTATGACTACTACTACTTCAACACTATAGCAGACAAAACTGCCCTTGTGTCCTCATCTTTTAATTTTTCCATTCTACATAGAAAAGGCTAGTATTAATCTTTCTGAAAAACAACCATGTCAAAGCTCTACTCAAATACTCAGTAACTCCCCATTTATTAAACATAAAGCTTAACTACAGATTAAAAATAGTAATAAATGAGAGTTAATGCTCTGCCACACTGATTTCTCTCAAAACACCTTTCCATATACACAAAACCCTCTAATCAAGGCTGGGCTCTCTTCCTTTTCTCCAGTAATGTTACATCCAAAATACTGTTGCTGCCAACCAAAATTCCTGAAATATCTTTATGGTTCTCAAATCCCAACCACCTTTCTTTCAAGGTCTATTCTTCAAACATACCATGAAACCTTCTCTGGACCAACTTTAATAGTCTCCTTTACAGGTGGTGAGTTCTGACTTCCACGGAGTTTCAACAGAACTCACTACATGTACAAAATGTTTCTCTTTTTCTTCCCGAGACCATTCTCTACCTCTCTGTATCTGCCTCTTTAACAAGGAAAGTTCAAACTAGCTAACTCCTGGCTTAACAATAGTTAAAGTTAAAAATGATCTCAAAATACAAATCGCCCTCAATGAAACAAGTAAGTTCAACATTATATATAACAAATTCCTAACTACAAATCCTTCCAGGAAAGGGAAATGTAGTAAAACACTAGTTTTAAATGATCTCCTCATCTATATTTTAACTTGATTTGGGAGCTTTAGATTAAAACATAAAAAAACCAAGAACCACTTATATCTAATAACAATATAAATGTCAAGTTTATCTCTAAAGGGATAGAACATAAATATTCTAGTCACTTACTTGCAGATATCCCTGTAGGTCTGAATTGCTGTATCCATATAATGTGCAGGGTATGGCCTGGGTGCTCCTGGCTGAAGAAAAGCTGACACAGCTGCCATTTCCTAAAAGAAAAGACATTACAGTATTTCAAAACAAGAAAATTCTTGTAGTAAGTTTAGCATTCAGTCTAAAAATAGGAATGCAGTTCACTAAGCTTTTTAATGTAGCCACATATATAAATTTGATAGCCTAATGCAGACTTGGAAATAATTACGTTTATATGCTTTCAGTTTTAAAGTTGTCCAATCACATTCCAAAGTCTGTCATTCATTATTTAAATGAGTTTTTTTCAAGAAGACCTAGTAAACACTTTTGGTCATGGTCTGTAACTATCAAGTAAGATTTCTGCTGCCACCTCCTCATTATTGCCTATTCCTTAGACAGTATAGAACAAACCAATGATAGAACCATAGACAGAGAAACAAAGTACATCTGTTTCCAATTTATTGGCTTCGATATCTGAAAACAGAGCTCACAACAACTTGTACTATATACGTTTCACCTCTTACAAACTCTATGGTTCATATTCTATATCAGAAGATGCAAAAACCATTTCTGAAACCGATCTTTCAACTTTTTAGGACTTCTTATTTCAAAGACCCATTCCATTGTCAGTAACTCAAATAATATACAATGGTGCTAAAGGATTTAAAAATGAAGATGAGGGGCTTCCCTGGCAGTCCAGTGTTTAAGACTCCATGCTCCCAATGCAGGAGGCACGGGTTGCATCCCTAGTGGGGAACTGGGATCCTGCATGCCTCACTGTGCAGCCAAAAAAGAGAAAGAAATGAAGATAAAAATGAAGGTTTTGGACTCTTAGTAAAATACTGTATTACATTCATACTTGTAGTCTCATATATACCAACTTTTAATAAAAATCTAACTAGAAATAAATGAAACTTCCATAAATTGGGGGAAAATTGCTAATGCCAACCTACTTATAGGATGAATAAACACTTTTCTGCAATAGTTTTTAAAATAGAGGAAAAAAAACACAAAAATTAATTATGGGATAAGAAACTAGGATATGATTAAAGCCTTTAACCTGACAGCCTATTTAAGTTCCATGACAATACAAACCCTACCTGTTTCAGAATATCTGTATCCTCAGCATCCAGCGCAAAAATTTATTAAAGCAACTGAATGAAAATATGTGATCTCCAAGTGACAAAATTTTCTACATACTACATATATAGCATGAAAGTGGAAATGTGAGTCGCTCAGTCATGCCTGACTTTTTGGAGATCCCATGGACTGTAGCCCACCAGATTTCTCTGTCCATGGAATTCTTGAGGCAAGAATACTGGAGTGGGTAGCCATTCCCTTCTCTAGGGGATCTTCCCAACCTCGAACCCAGGTCTCCTGCATTGCAGACAGATTCTTAACCATCTGAGCCACCAGGGAAGCCCCACATATATTGTATAATACTATATAAAAATACATTATATTTGCTACATAGGCACTATACTACTATATATACTACATATATATATACACACACACACATACATACATACACACATCAATAAAAGAGTACAAAGGAAAAAATCCTGTAAGAAAAATAAGCTTCAAATTCTAAGTCACTTTCAAATTTAATTCTACAAGAAATTACAAATCAATATACATACAAACTAACAATTTCTAAGGATACAATGAAACATTCAGAATGATCACCCCAAGTAACTGCATGATCTTCAATAATCAACCACTAAATCATTTCTTACAGTATACAGTAACAGATTAACACATTTTACAGACTTTCGTCAAGAACTGGAGTGACCTACTTAACCTTTATCGAGTTATGACAAATTAAACTACAAAATAAACAGTATTTTTCCAAAATTTTTTATTGGTTTTGCTGTGATGTAACTTTTAACTTTATAGTTAAAATAATTAAATATCTTAATTTTCATCAAAAAAGACAGGCAGTATAGTCTGTGATCAATTATCTACTATGTGAATGCTAAATAGGAAAGTGGTATCAGTACAAACAGAATTTTTATTCATTCAAAAATAGTTTTTCTTAGGCAAGGGGATCAAAAATAGCAAATAAGAATTATAACCTTCAGCAGGAAAGGATAAAGCTCTGAACTTAGCTTTGGCCCAAGCAGGAGCTTTTGTAATCCGTGCTTTAAGAAATAAAAACTGAATGCCTACTCTTTGTAAGTGTGTATGCCTGGGGGCAGGGGGCGTCTCTCTGCAGCTCCTGCTCAAGGCAGGCTGCGCTTCTTTCCATGCTTACCTTCATGACAATTCCACTGCTTAGGAGTTCTTTTCCCCACCCCAGGGTCCACAAACTGGTTTTGTATACTTTTTTTATTTCTTGGGATAACCTCCACTATGCTAAGATGTCTCACACAACACCTTATGTTATGGTTACAAAGATACATAGTTTTGAGGAGGACTCTACCAGACCAATTTTTCTCTAAGGCTTATTATTTTTAGGGTAATTATAGACTACAACGATTTTTAGGTGTGCATACGTTATAGCAGCTATGCCTTTATTTTCCAGTGCTCAGTTATTTTTCCTTCATATGCCTCTACTAATATGCCCGATATGCCACTAATTTGCCTCCATCTAAATGGTTTAAATGCAGTATTAATCAGATTGTAGACAGAAATGAAAAAGCTTAAAATACCATAGTATCACACAAATTTTCTGCCATAAGATTTTTCCAAACTTTCAATTTGCAGATACATTGTGCATAATTTTGTAATTATGAACTTACATTATAAAGTATTGATGAAGTAACATTTAAGTGTTTGTGATTTTCTATTAGCTTATGTTAGTTAACCATAAACCAGAGGTTGTCTAGCCAAGCACAATTCAAATACTTTTTCAAATACTTTTATTCATCAACATTTTCAGTTCCTGAAGATTTTTTAAAAGTTAGATGACTTTTTGCTATTTTAGCTTTATTTTTTAAAATGACTATCTTATTTTTATATATATAGTATTAAATGCAAAATAGACGGCAGTTATTAAACAGGTTATCTACATGGTAATTATCAATGAAGTAGAGTTCTCACGTACTTTTATTCTTCACAGTGTTTACAGCTTACATGTTTTTAAGAAGACTACAGAGGCACGCAGCGCGGGGAAGCGAGCACACGACGTGTGCCCTCTGCTTCCGCCACCACTGCCGCCACCTCCTCCTGCCACTCGCTCGTATGCCCCTTTGGTGTGGACCTGGTACCTCTTTTTGGAAGCAACAGCTGAGGAGACTCCTGCACATGCCATGGCCAATGAAAAGCCCAAGGGAAGAGTCAAGACTGACAGTGATAATCCTATTAATTTGAAGGGGGCAGGACAGACGGTTCTGTGGCGCAGTTGAAGATCAAGAGGCACACACTACTTAGTAAACTAATGGAAGCCTACTGTGAACAACAGGCTTTGTCAACGAGGCAGACCAGATTCCCATTTGCCTGGATGCCAATCAATGAAACAGACACACCTGCACAGTTGGAAACGGAGGCTGAAGATACAGCTGATGTGTTCCAGTGACAGACGAGGTTTCTACTAAAAAGGGAACCTGTTACTCAACTCCTGAATTCTGTTCCTCCAGACCAAGAAGACATTCTCAGTTAGAAAGCTGCAATTTGGTTCCACCACATCCTGACTACTACAGTACAGTTTCTCTGTTCTTTCCTTTTCCCCTTCCCCATTCTTTAACTGAACATAAAGTAACTGCTGTATATGCACAAGCACACAGCATTTTTTTTAAAACCAAATGGCCAATGGTATGCTTTGTTCAACATCAAATGAGGATGAGATGGGGGAAAAATACTGGTTCTCTGAAAATATCCCTTTCTCTTTTCTCCATTAGTGGCATACTCTTTGAGCTCTTATTTTTATATTCCAGCAACTCACTTTGTTCTAATACAAAAAGGACATAAAAATCCTTGCATACCTTATCCAATTGGAAAATTTTAATGTTTTTCATTTATCATTTAAAACCAAGAACAATTTTATAACTTTTCTGTATGTAGCTGTTACATGCAGGGCAATCTGTCCTTGTGTGGGATAAATTACCCTAAAAGAAATGAATCCTAGTTTCCCTTTAAGTCACGTGTCCTGTTGTTTAAATAGACCATGTAGAAAGTAACAATGCTAGTTTACGCTTTCCTAAGCACAGAAAGTACATTACAAACATATTTGTGACAACTTTTCAATTACATTAGAAGTTTATAAGGCAACAAAGAAAATTCTTTCTGAAATACCTAGGTTTTATATCAATTACAAAACTAACATTGCCAATGCCTACTGACAAGCCTAAATATAAGGTGGTGTGCCAGGCACTTTACAAACCTTGTACCTTATCTAACCATATTTAGGATTCACATTCTACAGATGAGAAAACTAAGGCTTAGAGATGTTCAGTAATTTGCCTAAGATGAAAGTTTGTCGCATACCAAAGTACATGTTCTTAACCAATAAACAGTCTTAGATCAGAAAAAAACATTTCAAACAATTTTAAAACATTTTTCAAGAGGAAAAAAAAGAATCCTCTAAAAATGAGAAGTTCTTATCCTGGGAATACAGTACAAACTGTAGTTCAAATTAAATAGAAAGTACTAATCAAATCTAAGAAACCCTCATGTATGACCATGTTTGAAGATACTAATTTAAGAGAAATCCATCAAGTTATCATCAATTAATTCAAAAGCTATAAAGCATTATGTGCTCTTTGAATACAACTTTATCCCTAAGGAAAATTCTGCTTGCCATTTCATAAAAAAAATTTCTAAGTCAGTCATGGTAGCAGAAACAAGAGATTATAGTACTACAGAATACCAACCAAGGCACCAGCTGCATAAAGCATTGCTTGATCATTAAGAAAATCTTTCTTTGCAGTATGATAACAACTGTATGCCAAATCATAGTGCTGCACCAAAAAGCACAAGTCGGCCATTTTCCTGATCTGAAGTTCTGGCGCTTCTGGTGGATACCTGTAGATACAAAATAAGAAAGGAATTCAGAATCTATGACCTCTAAGCCATTAAATATTACAAAATGTCTAAAAAGATGCCCAACTGTCCAAAACATAGGAAAATCTGATCCTGTCTTATAAAAATTCAGGCAGAATTTCTCAAAGATATTTGGAAACAGACTGTTACACCTGTATCTATATAATTTAGATCCCTATATTGAGAACTTTTCAGAAGGCAAGCACTTTCTCCATGGTCAAATTAGGAAGCAAATGATCAATTCCAGGTGACTCACCTTTATGTACAGTCAAAAAAAATCTAAAATGAATTTTATTTCCCCTTAAAACCAGATTTTAGACAAAATTTCTAAATACATGCTATGTCTTAGAATTACTAGACCTCAGTACTTTAATAAAGAAGAGTTATCAGTGAATACCTAATCCAACCCTTATCTTTTTAAGGAAAACAGACCCAAAATAATGTGACCTCCCTGTGATCTTGTTTATTTTTAGATATGGAATTACTTATAGTTTTTTTTTAATTTAATATAACTTATTTATGGTCACTGTTCTTATCTACTGGAGTTCTGACCAAAATGAAACTAATAAATTATAGATATAGTCATTTTTTGCAGAACATCATTAGTTAAACACTAATCAGAGTTAAATACAGGAAAACTAAAAACAGTAATATTTTACTCACAGCAATCCAGATGTATTTTTTAGCTCATTAATGCTCTTTTCTGGAACTTTACTGCCACTAAACCATTTTTTAGTTGCAGAAAATAGAGATCGACTCAAACCTTTTCTTGATATTAGCTAAGAAAACAAATGAAATATGTTGATAAACATGAGCTTAGTATTCTTTACTTACATAGAAAAGAAAAAATTCTAAATAACTAAAAAGTTTTAAGAGTAAGCAAATGCGCACTTTAATAACAATGATTTAAAGAAAATCATCCAAAATCCCTAGTGAAAATAAATAAGCCTCTTCTAGGATTTACTAGAATTTCATCACTGATAATAAGTTAATAAATTCTAATATTGGTCTATTTTTAAAATAAAAACATAAACTCTTTAACTTATACTACTATATTTTCAAGTTTATTTCCTGAAATTTTAAAAAATACTAATGCAAATAATTAAATCTTACCTGATCATTTAATTGCCGAATCGTTTTCTCTATATGTGGCAAAAGGCCCCGAAATGTGAACTCTTGTATAAACTGTCGAATTCTATCATGGTCAGTAAGGGTTAAACATGCACCATGAATAATTCCAGCATTTGCCTTCTTTGTTTCGTGTAATGATGAAGCAGATTTTACATGATCTGGGCCATCAATACTGTGAGAAGAGTCACTGGAGGGGTCCAATTGAAGCGGGTGAGCTCTAAAGTTATTTGGTAAGCCATCTACTGAAAGACAGATCTTTCTTTTACTCTCAGAAAGCAACAGAAAATTGCGGCATTACTACCATATTGCAAAAGAAAAGAAACAGTATTGGAACCCTTTCTCTTACTGTATGTCTTAGAAGTCTAAGACGACAGCATTCAAGTTTCCCCCTAAAATCAGGACTTGGGTTAAAATATATTATGTGTAATAGAAAATTTTTAATTCATGTAAATAAATGAAGAAAAATAGTGTTAAAATACAAAAATTATTTTTAAATAGCACAACTAACCAATGAAAAAAATTATAACAAAAAAAAATTTAAAGCTATCACTATCTAAACTGTAATTGAAAATACAAAAATAAAACTCTCAAAATTATGTGAATGGGGGAATAATTAATGCTACATATCATACTGTCCTTTGCTTTCTACCAAAAAAAATTTTATGAAGTTTGACTTATTACTCTTATAAAACAAATTTTTAAATGTCAAAAAACATCAAACTCAAATAACTCAATAAAATCTTCAGAGGAAAAGTTAATCTGTCCATTATCTCTTTTCACTATGAAAACTTCCCCCATCTTTTACATATAAAGATTAGCATGCTTCAACAAGAGTGCTATTCTCAATCAAAAGACAAACTTAAGAGAAAGTATATCAAGACCTTTGACTTCGTTATCTAATCCATCCAATGAAAGCAAGTTACTATCAGAATTCTTATTTGAAGTTATAGTACAAGGGCCATCTTCATATGATTCCTATCAAAATAAAATACAAAAAGTGTTAATGATTACACTTAATCATGTTTAAGATATTACCAAATTTATCAACTATAATAAAACCTCATTTTTTTCCCACAGCAAAAAATTTCTAATCCTCCGAATTCTTAACTTCTTCCATGTATCATATTCTATCACTTAAATCCACACTTATTATATCCTTATATTGTTTCACATGCAAACTACCCGAATTCTTCAGAATTCAAGTTACTTCTATCTCAGTTTATGTTTATATGTGATATGCACATGCCTATATGAATCCCTGTATGTGCAACTATGTAAGGAAGAATGGCAAGACAGATGGACTCCTGGAGTCAGCAGGGGTAAGAAAGGATGGTATGGAATCTGAGGGCTCATGGACGCAGTCTTAAGGCTGGAATGAATTCTGAAAACACAGAAGTTTTGGGAAAATATCCAATGCAATGTTTACTTGTACAAAGGGTATTGGTTTCAGCCACCAAAAAAAACAACATCCATACTACTCCATGAGCCCACTAATACCATGAGGTATTATTCTGAGTGCCAGACTTTGAAAAAAATATATAACCTAGAACTTAATAAGAGGAAGGTGATCAGGACAAGAAATTGTCTGAAAACAGTTAAGAGCTGAAAAAATGGTATCTTTAGCCTAGAAAAATATTTTAAAAGACATGAGAGTTATGTTCTATATTCTGAAAGTCATCTTAATGAAAAACTGACATGATCCCAATAGGATTGAGTACAAGCAAAGGAAGAAAAATTTTGGTTGATCCTCAAGCTGCTTAAACATGGGAGCAGGTCACCTAAAAAGACAGTGAGTACTTTCAATAGATGAGGTCACTCACAGATTTAAAGGAAATTAAAGCATCAGAACGACGACTGGATCTGACAACCTTTAAACTATCCTCCAATCCTGGACTTCTAGGATTCTAAGCTGTAGAATATCTATAGCTCTGTCTTCTATTAAAAGTTCTCCAACTGCACAATCTGACCTATTATGTTCCCTTTCCCAACCTTAGACGGTTAGATTCTAAACTGAGTTATTTCAATACTATTCCTACTCTGAGTATGGCCCTGAAACACCATTTAAAAGCTCTTCTACCTCCAACTGGTTCTTTTTCTCTCAGACATTTTCCCCCAGAATTATCTTAAAGAAGGTCAACAATCATCTCAATATTAAAGTGAGTAAAATTTTTAATCTAAAGTGATTTAAAATTTCATATGTAAGACAAAAAAAGGCAAACAGATTATTAAACAATATTTCTATTAGAACATCAAAATGTACATACTTTCTAATCCATATTTCTTAAAATAGTATAACATAAAGTATATAATGTAGCTTAATTATACAAAATATAAATTTATTTTCCATTTACTTTGGAAATCTTCCTTCTAAACAAAAAACAGTCAACTCTTGATTATCTGAATTAAGCATATAACTTGGCATTTGACTAGTACCAAGTGGCATAAAATTCTATCTTAAAAGTTGGACAGAACGTGAAACTTTACACCCACCACACACCAGCCAACAGACAGTAATTAACATTAGTCTAGAAATCAACATTAGAAGAGTTGATTAGGAAGAAACAAAACTTCCTGGAAATTCCAAAGAAAAGGAAATCAAAGGAAAGTTAGGGAAAAAAGCCCACCCACCTAAAAAGTATGAGCTCCAAAAGGTGGCCATAAGAACAGCATGTTGAAAATGAAGGAAGGCAACCCCCAGAGCATGTGGATAATAAAGAATTGACTGTAAGCATTCATAATGAATTTAATCTGCAAGCCAAAAATTCTATTATATACGTGTTTAGTCAATCTAATCCAATTCTTAATGTATAATTCACTTTTCATCTTTTTTTTTTTTTTTTTGCCACACTATGTGCCTTGTGAGATCTTAATTCCCCCCTCAGTGGAGGCACAGAGTCTTAACCACTGGGCTGTCAGGGAAGTCTCCACTTTTCATCTTTCAAGAAAACAATTAACGCTGATATTTATACCGGAAAGGTATACACAGAAGGGATTACTGCAATTAAAAACAGCTTTTGAAACATTAAGAGCTCACATACTAATGGATCAAAACTAGCCAGATTCAATAAAATAACTACTAGTAATTCTACAAATTCTCCAGTGATGCCATTAGCCATAAAACTGAAATACAGCTTTTGTGGTTTGCTTCATTGTTGTTTTTTACATATACCTGGTTTTGAATACTATTTTTCTGGAGATACTGACTCCAAGGATCTGGTATCTGTTCATCTGATGCTCGATTAGATGTTCGAGAATTAATTTTAAGTAGATAGCAACCCTGAGTTCCATATTTCTGTTTCATTTCTTCATAAATTGACTCAGCTCTAAAATAAAAAATGGAAAAGTTTGTAGCCAATGAAGAGAGGATCTTAGGCAATAATAGATGTTAAAATAATACAAAAACCATGGAAAACATAGAAGTAGCATAATTTTAAAACTTAAAACAAAGCTCATGATTCTAACTGAAGTTTAGCTAGCTTGGTTATCACCTTAAAGCCCAGTTACCAAAGTACATCTCATAGAATAAATTTTATAAAAATACTCATGTTATTAAAAAAGAAAGTTTCAGTGGTCACACTAGTTTGGGGAACTACAGTAATCAAGCCAACCAGCTTCTTTGCAGCAGACCACCTCTGAGTCTTCCACTACTATGTACAGTGAATTTCCAAAGAATGCGTTCAAACTTTTAAATCAGAAACTCAACTATGTGGACTAGTCTTCAGGAAATAACTTTGGGAAATTCTGCCTTAGATAACAGATATAAGTGTTAAAATAGATAATTATAGCATCCCCCCGAAAAAATCATCTTTTACTGCTACACTTTACCCTTCCCTAAGCAGTCTCCAAAGAAAACAGTTTAGAAGAAGAAAAAAAAACAAGAAAAGCAGTCAAAATACTTATTATATAGAAACCCAACTTTTTTGCTTAGTTTATTATCAGCTGGACCCATGAGCAAATCTCAGATTCAACAAAAAGCAGTTGATTTCCTTACTTTTAGTTAACTAGACTTGCTAGTTGGTAACAGATGAGACAATTCAAATAAGTCAGCCTAAGAATCAAATAGTACATTCTAATGGAAATGAAATTTTGGAACATAGAGCTAACCTAATTAGTTTTTCTCACTAAACTCATCAGCTATCTGGTATCAAAAAACAGGTGGATATATCCCATTCAATGCAGATACTAATACTATACAAATAACAAACCTAACAAATAATTAAATCCTATTACACACTGTAAAATTAAGGCCGGTTAAGTAAAACAGTTATAAATTTGTATAAACATATATAGTATATGTGTATGTATCTTTACTCATGTACAATAAACATCTACTTGCTTTACCAATGACACTGTTAAGCATAAGAACCACTGATTAAAAAAAAAAAAACCACTGATCTAACACTTTAATTACCACTTAAATACCCATGTTATAACCATTTAATATGAAAGGTATCCATATTCAAACAATTGAAACTAATAAAAGCCAGTTCAAATTATTCCTATTTATATAATATACTTGATCCAAGAAGCTACAGATTATTTATGATGTCAAAAAAATTATAAAGGTTAGTAATCCTCAGAACAATTCTTTGGTTTTATCGAGAAAACTTTATTTTAAAACGGTGGTGTGTGCTCAGAACAAGGACAAAAAACAATTATTTAACTGCATTTTCTAAACAGCATTGACATAATGGAATAGCAGTTTGAAACAAAAGATTAATTTTGATCAATATCTTAAACCAAAAATCAAAATAAACTGCAAAGCAGCAAAAAGTCTTAACACATTTAACCTTTTTTGGACATTTAAGTTTCCCTCTTAACAAAAAAGTATTGGGTGTCCCATCTTCTCCCCCATCCCCACTGGCCAGAAAAAGCCATAAAACTGTTTTAATATTATCTTACTTTTCCAAGAACTCATCTTTAAAGATAAGCTATTCTCTTATCCCAAACATAAAAGGACTATGGCAAATCATCAACAACGAATATTAAAGGGGACATAAGAAATAAGTGTTTGGATGTTTTTTTGAGACTGTGAAAAACATCAAGTTTAAAAATATAAAGTGATGAGAGTGAAGAGTGAAAAAAGAAGTGCCTATAAACCAGGAAACAAAAAGTTACAGGAAAACTGGGAAAGGGACAAGAGAAAAAAATGAGCAATAATAATATACATAGTAAGAAATAACAGCTAAGATCTATAGATACAAAATGACAAGCACTCGTGAACAAAGATTAATAGACATACATGCTGAAGGAAAAGTTTGGATAAGCATATGAAATAAAATGATGTAGCTGCTGAATATAACTTCAAATAAAAGATCTAGCTAATTTATTAATAAATTTTTACCTTCTTAGATGAAAAATGTATCAAAAACTTAAGCCATGTCCAAATTAATGTCAACTCATTTGACAGGAAATATTTTAAAATTAAAAAAAATAAAGCTTACCTCTGTTCATCTCCTGCACTTACATCATGTAAAAGTACATAATATTTAAGCGTATTTGGTATAAACCACTTGGGGTAGGAATAGTCATTATTGTGCTGAATTCGATGCTGTTCTTGTGACAATTTTGAAAACTGTTCCACAGGTTCAGGTTCACCAGAGGATGCCACCAACATACCTTGTAAACCACATTAAGGTAATTATCACTTATCACTTAAGAGTAACTATTATCCTATTAAAATAAACTGCATGCATGCATGCATACTCAGTCATGTCCAATTCTTTGCAACCCAGTAGACTGCAGCCCGCCAGGTTCCTCTGTCCATGAGATTTCCCAGGCAAGAATATTGGAGTGGGATGCCATTTCCTTCTCCAGGGTAATCTTTCCAACTCAAAGGTCGAACCTGTGTCTCTTGCATCTCCTGAACTGGCAGGCGGATTCTTTACTATTGCGCCATCTAGGAAGTCCAATAATTAATATTATTCTTTATTTTTGTTTTAATATTATTCTTTAAAAGTAAATTTAGGGAGGTATTTTATGAGCTAAAACAAACAAAATCTGATTTTTACAGGTTTTCCTGCAAGCATAAAATAATTTCTTCAACATTTCTATGTAATTCAAGGTTCTAAGTACTAAAGATATCTTGCTGACAGCTGTTTAGATCACTTATCTATACAATAAGGAAATCGATGAAAATAAAAGTGGACAATATGAAAACTGTCCAACTATCAACATAATGAAAACTTCTGCTGAGTCTTGATCTTCTCCCTTCCATCTCGGTGCAATTTCATACTCTGTCCCTTCTCAACTTTTCTCTGTAACCACGTTAAAAAAAAAAAAAAGAAAGTCATAACTGTGAAAGGAGGTTAACAGCTATAAAACGTGCTACTAAAGGATGGAAAGCTGTTTCTAAATCTGAGCTTTTGCATAAGCAGTTAATTTTGAAAGTAAGAGAGTTAGTCCCTCAGTTGTGTCCGACTCTTGAGACCCCACAGGCTGTAGCTCGCCAGGCTCCTCTGTCCACAGAATTCTCTAGACAAAAATACTGGAGTGGGTAGCCATTCCATTCTCCAGGGGATTTTCCTGATCCAGGGATCAAACCCAGGTCTCCTGCAATGCAGGTAGATTCTTTACTGTCTGAACCACCAGGGAATTTTGAGACAACCAGCAAAAGCAATTAACACTGACAGTTTACATTTTTTCTTTCTAAAATAGCTTAAAAACATATTAAGCATGAAATATGCAAGCTGGATGACAAAAAATAAGCAGGCTCTTAGTATTCTTATTTTTTAATCAAAAGTTAGCTCTACCAGTCTTGAATCTAGGATGCCATTTAACAAGAACAAGAAAACCTGAAGCATTTCAATAAAATATAATTTTTCCATCCTCTCAACAATTTTGCATTTATGTAACTCTTTCTGACATTAGTAACTTCCAAATATTTTAAGAGAACATAAAAGTCAAAGGATACATGCTAAATAGTGGTTCAGAAATTCATGATCTGACGCTGGCATCGACTGAAGAAAGGTCTCTCTGTAAGACTCAAACCATGGCGTAGTAGCTAAAATTTATAAAGAAAAAGTTAAAACTGTTCAGTAGAATCAGTTTACAACAGACCACATTTCAAGTTCATATTCCTAAAAGGTATAAAACATCATTTCTAGCAATAAACAAGCATTTTTCACATGTGCTTTAATATATATATATATTGATATACACACATAAGCAATACACACAAATATATTCATACATGGCAGTACATGTACTTGCAAAAATAAAACTGACCTATTCCCAAACCTACACAATGATACCATAGTTTATTTATTAATTCAATATTACCTATGTGAACAACCAGATATTATAACTATAGTTTTCGCTTCCACTAGTCACGCTGTTGTAAGTAGCTCTTTCTCATAAATGGCATTATTTCTGAACAGTGGTCCTCAACCAAGAGCAATCATGACCCCCAGGAAACATCTGGCAATGTCTGGAGATACTGTGAGTTGTCACAAATAGGGACAAGGAGGGGTGCTACTGGCATCTAGGGAAACAGGTCAGGAACGGTGGAATAATGAGAACATCCTACACTGAAGAAAACAGGATAACAATACCCCACACACACACCCCACTCCAACACCAGCAAAGAATTATCTCGCTCAAAACATCAATAGTGGTGAAGTTGACAAACCTTACTTCATTACCTGAGTACGATAGCAACTAAACCTCTTCAAATGGAATTTCAAAACATGCTTACCTCACAAATACAAAGATGAGTATTTTTACTTTTTGTATACATGTATGTCATGTGATTCTTAAAATGTCAAATCTCTCTCACTCCATGCTAAGCATTTTACATTACAACTATTCTAACTTGTTAAAAACTTGAATTTTGTTAAACTTGGTCATTTCATTAGGTTTAAGCAGATTATCTAAATCAGTTTTACTAAAAGGACACTCTATTCCTAGTTACTTATGTTGACTATAAAACCTTATGTACTTTTTGTTTTATTCTTATAATCACTGAAAGCATAGCAAGTATATTTTCTGTTTACACTGCAATACTACATTAAACTGGGAAGGATGAAATAATAAAGCTATTCATCTTAACCAAGTAGCATATCCAACCTGGCATCATATATACAAAATAACTTTAATTCCAACAAATGGATTATGAGAATAACCCACACATTATTTAGGAGGATTAGTACTACAAAATTTTCATGTTTTCTTGTTACAGAAGAGGAAAAACATTCCCAGAAAGAGTACTATATATATACATATACACGAACAGTGGCATAATTGAAGAATGACACAGACTAGTCTGTTACAACAGGAAACCAATTTTCTTACTAACCAGTAAATATATCTTTCCCCTAAATCAGTCAAAATGAGTCTCTAGCTTGAAAATTAGTTTTTGTTTTCACTCAGTACCAATGAAGAGAAAATAAAATATAAATAATGAAAAATTTGGTTAGATAAGAAATCACCACAGATGATAGGGGAAATGACCTTATCAACTTTATTTTTCTATTTTCTTTGTTGCTTCAACAATGCTTAAATTTAAGCATTTTTTAAGCAAAAAACAGGTAAGTTATAGACACATAACAAGGGGTCTGTTTCAAAGTGGGTTGGGGAGTTCTGAATAAACAAATTAGGTCTTCCAAAATAGCTATCCATTGCAACATTTCCTGTAATAAAAGACTAGAAAATGCACATGTCCACCAGGAGGGGACTAGTTAAGTAAACTATGGGACACACACTGGATGTGCTATGGCGTTTTAAGAGAAAGGGGGAAATCTCCACATGATTACTATGAAGTGCCCACAGGATCAATTAAGTGAAAAAAGACAACAGCAGAAAAGTATGCAATTTTGTGAAAAAAAAAGGGAAAAAGAAAGAGAGCCACACATGTATTAGTTTACTCTGTCAAAGAGAAAAGACAGGATGAACCTAACAAATGCCACCATGTGTAAGAGAAAGAAGAAACGAGAAAGGGGAAGGGCCTGAACAGAAGCTAGGCCTCTGTGAATGTACCTTCTTGTCTAGTTCTGACTCTGCAACAGTATGTTCCAGATAACAAAACCTAACAAAACAAAAAAAAAAATCAAAAAGTAAAAAAGCACACATACACATGTAGGAGTTCTTAAACTGAAATAATACTTTCTAAATACTGGTACAAGAAAACACTGGGTACTCAACAAAGAATATAGGAACAAAGGAAAATTTTCTAAATATATGGCAGAAGTGGGTTTTATCCTTCAAGTCGGTCACATACAGGTTGATGAGGTAACTTTTTCCTTCAGCCACATGTTTCCTTGAAGGGCTAATTAAGAAGTCCTCCTCCATTTTTCTCACATGGCAGAAGACTAGGGTATCCTTCTCTTTCTGCTTTTTCAAGCAATGTTTTAGCAACATGTAGGGAAAAAAAGGTTTTTTTTTTTTTTTTAATGTTAACAAAAGACTAACATTTAGTGACACTTCTCATCCCTTAAAAATTCTCTTGTACATATTTTGGGATGAAATCAGTGTTTTGCTCATATTCCTTTCCCTCTCTACATGTTCTTTGCTTGGAACTGAAACAGCAACCATGATATCCTACCAGTTAGTTTCTCTATGTAGAATGTACTCTTCCCCTGGTAAGAAAGATAAAGGCGGCAGCCAAGAAGTGGGAAAAAAAAAAAATGTAATGCTCTATCCTCCACTCATACAAAAGGCAGCCCTCTCTCTCTCTCTCCCCATTCATTCTTCGTTCCCTTCTTAGTGCCAGTAACTTGGCAAACAGAGTTGTGTGTGCATGCTTAGTCGTGTCCAACTCTTTGCGACCCCATGGACTGTAGCCCACCAGGCTCCTCTGTCCACAGAATTTCCCAGGCAAAATACTGAAGTGAGTTGCCATTTCCAACTTCAGGGGATCTTCCGGATGCAGGATCTGAACCTGTGTCTCTTGTGTCTCCTGCACTGGCAGGTGGATTCTTTACTAATGTGCCACCTGGGGGCCTAAGTTATTAGTGTTCAAATACATATCTAACAAGGGCTGAAGGCATTGAGACAGACCTACAGCCACTCTCGTCTTCTTTCTATTGAAACCAAACACTCTAGGGTGAAACAGATCACCAGCCCAGGTTGGATGCATGAGACAAGTGCTCGGGCCTGGTACACTGGGAAGACCCAGAGGGATCGGGTGGAGAGGGAGGTGGGAGGGGGAATCGGGATGGGGAACACATGTAAATCCATGGCTAATTCATGTCAATGTATGACAAAAACCACTACAATACTGTAAAGTAATTAGCCTCCAACTAATAAAAATAAATAAATAAATAAATAATAAAAAAAAAGAAACCAAACACTCTCATCAGTAGTCCCAAACCTGTAAGGGAAAAAGACTGGCTACCCTAAACATAAACATCACCCATAAATCACTATTTTCCCTTTCTAGTCATTCACAAACGTTGAAAGTACCAGAAAACCACCATTCAGACTAAACAAAAAAGCACTAAGAAATATTACAAATTCCACATAATGCTGGCACTTAAAACTTTAACTTTTGATAAACAGTAGTAGCAAAATATCTTCCCAAATGAAAATATTCAAGTAAGGGAAAGAAATATGATAATTAGATAATTAGTTAATTCAATAAAAGAAGTCTCGAGTCAAAAATACTTGACAGTGATTATCAGAATATATGGTTTAATTCAGAAGATCTCAGACTACAAAAGCTACAAAAAACTAAAACCAGAACTTTTATATAAAATTTATGAGCATTTTGCAAATCAAATAATCTTAAATAATATGAAGAGTTAAGAAATACTAACCTTGTATTTTAACAACACCCTTTTTTTTTTGAAAACTATCCTTGAAGAGACTATTTCTAATCAAGTTTTCTAAAAAAAAAAATCAGCAAAAATCAAAGTATTCTAAAGAGATGCAAGCCATGATAACTTATGTCCAATAATTAAATTTCTCATACACCATAGATTTTTTTTAAAAAACAGATCATTCTGTTTTGCAACTATATTCCTTTTAACCCTCTGTATACCAAGAAAAATAGTCATTGCATTTACTACCTGGATTTAACTGACCCTTGATATTTTATTGTATTTCTAATTCATTTGATAAATTATTCACAGAATTAAGAATAAAACCAAAACAAACTTTTTATAAATTTTAATAAAGCAATCTCAAATTGTATTCCATTTCCAGTTTCAAAGATATATGCCTCAATTAGGCAATGTTCTTTGAAAGTCCATCAACTATTATGCACAAACCTAGAACACATTCACCATGTAAATACTGATTCCAGATTTAAACACATGTCGAACAACTTCTAGTTTATCACTGTTTCTGGTTTTTCTTGCACAGCCAAGGTGCAACATTTTGGAAAAACGTGATGGCTCAAAATTTTGCTGAAAACAAAAAGGTCATTTTATTTTGCTCCATCACTGCGAAGCATTTTCATTCTTTAGACTTCTAAACAGCAAACACAGTGATTAAGTTAATGAATTTTCATTTCTACATCATCTGATTCCTTCCAATTACCTTCATACACATGCCTGAAACAAAATGTATCAAGTAAATTCTGTTACACAAACATCATAAAAGATCAAAGAATATAGTCACATGTCCTTTAACAAAATAGGATGGTCTAGGTTAGCATTTCAAAATACTATATGAAACCCTTCCTGTTAAACTAAGTCCTTCCTGTTAAATTGGGTGAAAATACTATATTTTCTTTTTGTTTTTAGAAATACATTGCTCATTCATCAACTCTTGAGTTTGAAGACAACTGTCCTAGATACTGTCATCTGAAGACTCAAAGACTGGGATTTCTATATATGATCAATTTCACCACTGTCATCAGAATCCAGTAAGGTAAGTAACCACTAGCCACATGTGGCTCTTGGGCACTTGAAATGTGGCTTGTCTGAATTGAGGTGTGCTCTAAGTATAAGATGACCCTGAGGGACGGGATGGGGAGGGAGGTGGGAGGCGGGTTCAGAGTGGGGAACACATGTACACCCATGCTGATTCATGTCAATGTTTTTTTTTTAATTCATTAAAATAATTTTTTTTAAAAAAGAATTTATTAAAATAAAATTTTAAAAAAGAAAACACACATAAAATTTTGAAGATAATACACACAAAAAACTCCATTGATTACATTTGAAATGATAATATTTGGGTTAAAATTAAATATATTAAAGTTAATTTCACTCATTTCTTTGTACATTCTTTCTTTCCCCGCTCTTGGCAAAGTGACAAGGTTTGTGAGATCTAGTTCCCTGCCCAAGGACTGAACTTGGGCTCCCTGACAGTGAAAGCAGAGTCCTAACCTTTGGACCACCAGGGAATTCCCTGTTCTTACATTCTTTATTGTAGCTACAGAACACTGAGAATAATGTAAGTGGCTCATTTATTTTTACTAGATAGCATGAGTCTAAACTGCCATATGTCACTGTATTCATCTTCTGATTTGTCTAGTAACTGTGAAAAATTGTGTATTCCACTGTTAGTTTTCTTTTCTTTGTCAATATGGACTAAAAATTCCCAAGTCTCAACTATGTTCAATGGAGAAAAAAAAAGATAAAGATATGACTATAAAGATGTTGTCTCCAAACTTCTTTCATAACTTCCTGAAAGAAGATGTAGTACTGTGGGCAATACAAAATTTCAAACTGAAGGATGATATAACAGTGATTTTGTTCACTATTGTATCATCCTAGGGAATTTCATTATTCCAGGACTTTCTTATAGTTCAAAGTAACTGGTATTGATAAACAATTCCCAGGACAAAAAATAGAAAAATACTTCAAGATACTAGAAAAATAAGAACAATAATTTCCTATTTTGCACTACCCACATTTTAAATAATAACCACTTTTTAAAAGGGTTCTTTATGCAGCCCAAATTATACTTTTCAAGGTCAATGCCTGAGTTTAGCAGATAATACTGTAAATCAAGAGTAAATACAATAGGTAACAGATAAGAGATAACAAAAGTTATCTCCATTTTAGAAAAATTAAACAGACAGGTTAACTGAAACAAATACCAAAAAGTACTAGCTGAGTGGAAAAAAAGTAATAGACAAGGAGTAGATTATGACCAATCTGGAAAACTGAGACCACCAGAGGAAATACCTATACATAATGAGGATTCTTTCAATTCCATCATTATGTCTCTCCAATTACTATACCAAGGAACACTAGCTTCAATTGACCAATCTGATGAAGAAATGGCACTGTGAAGCTGGGCTTATGAGGTAAGTATCTAACATGTATTTCATAAACAGAATGGGTGAAAAGTATGACGACTCACATTAATGGTAAAACTAGAGAGTATTTCTAGACAAAGAATTAATCTTACTTAAAATGGATAAAACCACTCAAATCTCCAAAGAGTATTATTCTAACAGAAGTTTAATAAAGTGAATTCAGTACTTCATCATCTCACATTCTCAAATCTCCAGAGTATTATTCTAACAGAATTTTATTAAAATAAATTCAGTACTTCAGCATCTCACATTATCAGCCTTCAAGACCAACGAAACAATAAAGCTAAAGAGAAGTGCCTTAAGTAGCAGAGTAAGAAGCTAAAGAAACTGCTTTCTTCTGAAGCTTGTCCTAACCACTTGAGATTCTTTTTTAAAGTCTGCCTAAGGAGTTTCAGATATTCATTCCTGAAAAATTTTACCTTCCAAAACATATATCTTTTTAGGAAGATACTAGAGATGTCCTTTACCAAATCAATGAAATATACCTAAAGATATGAATGAGGGGCTACAGAGTAGGGAAGGAAATCTCCAGGATAGCAGCTGTGGAGCAGGTCTTGGAATGCAGCCAAACCATGACAGAGCAGAACAGTGTTTGAAACTTCCATTTCATTACATTCCCTCTCCCCTCCAACCTCCCAACCCCGCCTGGTGAGCTTTTTAAAATATTCTTCTAATTGTTCCTTCTCCCCACAGAATACTCTTACATAATACCACAGATATACTATATATCCATTAATGTACTGTGGTCCTTTGGAGAGCCACAAATCACTGTAGTATATATTTTTGTCCCCCAACTACCAAATTTTCACCCACTTGAGGAATGCTTATCATTCCCTATTGAGAATGTGTGGAGTAGAAAGAGAGAAGACATTAGGAAAGAGACCTTAATAAATGGATTATCTCAAATTAATCTATCAAAGGGAAAATCTTACTGGGAGGCTACTGGAAGTTTGAGAAACTAGCAAAAAATACGAAGAACTCTGGGCAAGTTGTTTTTCAAAAGGTGATTAACTAAATCCTGAAAAAAACAAAATGCCGTATAAAAACGAACTGAAAGCCCAATATTCGGCTCAGCAGTGAAGTGAATACTTAGTACGGTCAACAGTGAGTATTAACCAAATATTATAAAAAACCACATTAGGGAGATGGAAGAAGGGGTGTACTTAAGCTAAATCTTCATCAATTATAATGAGAAATCAATAAATAAAAATTTTAATTAAGCTGTCAGTCAGTTCAGTAGCTCAGTCGTGTCCGACTCTTTGCGACCCCATAAATTGCAGCACGCCAGGCCTTCCTGTCCATCACCAACTCCCGGAGTTCACTCAAATTCATGCCCATCGAGTCAGTGATGCCATCCAGCCATATCATCCTCTTTAGTCCCCTTCTCCTGCCCCCAATCCCTCCCAGCATCACGGTCTTTTCCAACAAGTCAACTCTTCGCATGAGGTGGCCAAAGTATTGGAGTTTCAGCTTCAGTATCAGTCCTTCCAATGAACACCCAGGACTTATCTCCTTTAGGATAATTAAGCCATAAACAACCATATAAAAATATTACTTGGAAACACAAAATGAATACCAGAGAAAACCAATGAAAGTTGGTGGGGCAGCGGTACAGAGAGCAGATTACTGTTGCTTGTTTCTCTTAAGTCTTTTCAGCATTATCTCTATTAGTATGGGGTTTCCCTGGTGGCTCAGACAGTAAAGATGCTGCCTACAATGCAGCAGACAAAAGAGATGAGAGTTCAATCCCTAGGTTGGGAAGATCCCCTGGAGAAAGAAATGGCAAGCCACTCCAGTATTCTTTCCCGAAAAATTCCACGGACAGAGGAGCCTGGCCTGCTACAGTCCATGGGGCCACACAGAGTCAGACACGACTAACACTTTTGCCTTCCTTCTGTGCATGTTTCATTTTAATAATTATTTTTAAAGTAAAAGGTACATGAACTTTGGAGGTCAGCAAAGTATCTGCACTATAAAAAAAATAATTTTGAAAACATATGATAGTTAATTCCTCTCTGTGCCCCTCAGCACTCTGGCATATTAGATATGCTATATCTCTATTATAATGTATTTTAAGATACTATAAATTAGAATGTCTCCTAATTTTTGATCAGGTTATGAAGTTACATATAGCATCTTATCTCAGTGCAAAGCATATAGAGAGAAATCAATAAATATTTGTTGCATGAATAATAAAAATGTTAAAGTCCCTATAAAACAGAATCACAGGATTAAAGGTCTAGAAGAGGCATTAAGAAGTAATGTAGTCAAATTGTCTCATCTTCAGAGAACATAACTGATTCTGAATAAGTAACTGATTCAGATTATCCAACTAACCCTGGCAATGGTAATATAAAAACCTGGATACTCTGGCATTAGATTCAGCACCTTTCACACTTCAAATTCTCCACTGATGAGAGAAATAATTCAAATTCCATCACTTTCTCCCAAAAATACACAAATCTTGCCTCCCGAAAATAAGTTATGCCAGGAACTGCTTAAAGTACATATCCTGAAATGGATTCTTTTGCTTTGTAAAGATAACCAAAATTTTCTAAACTTAATCCTATCAAGGTAACTTATCTTGTTGGAATTAAAATGACATAGAAAGAAGAAAAATTATTAATTTTTAAACAAAGTAAATCTACAAACATTTCTAACTATACAAGTGCAACCAAGTAACTTCACGATCTAAAACATTCTTCTTAATTTCTCTTTGTATGATTGGGAAAATCTTCAACTATGCAATTAAGAGGCATTAATATAATAGATTATAAGTTATACTGATCTAAGGTGATTATTAGGTAGCTAAAATAGCCTAACTAGATGATGCATGGAGGATGCAGGAGCTAAGTTCCCTGCCCAAGGATCAAACTCATGCTTCTCTGCAGTGGAAGCTTGGAGTCCTAACCACTGGACCACCAGAAAATTCCTAGATGATGTACTTTTCATCTTTCCCCTCTAAAAATCTATCCCATGTCCCCCCATCAAGTCTTTTCCACACTGGCAAAGAGTCACACCAAATACTGCTAACTGACTTTACATATTATTACAGTTTCACCTACAAATTTTATTATGAAAATATTTACCAGTCACATCAGATTAGGATAAGTATTTATTTATATACTATAAACATTTCCTCCATTTAACACTAAGCAAGATAAAAGACAATAAACTTAATGCTTTTACATAATCACTGTATTATTAATATCACAAAAGAATAGGTTTTTTTGTCTACTGTTGGTTCTTTCATTTAAGAAATATTATGCACATGTTCTAGGCATTAACTTTACAAGTAGAACTACAAAAAAATTTTTCATTATGAAAAAGTAAAATCATGTATTTCGTAGTTATTTGAATGGCTGCCTGCTTACTTGACTGTAATCTCCTAAAAAGCAAGGACCTGTCTTCCACATTGTATTCTCAGGCTCAAGCACTCAGCAAGTACTTAAGTGTGTGTTGAATGATTTCCAAGTCACAGAATTACCTTTTCTAACAAAAGAAATATCATTTAAAAAATAATAAACCTTATTACATACCACTGAGGTTGAGGTCATAATCTCCTGCCGTTATCACATTAGCTACTAATCCTTCTGCAGGCTGACTGCCAGAAACCACATCATTCAAGAGTTTCCGAATGGCTCCAGGCTGAGGTGGTTGGGTGGTAATGTTGCTTACAGCTATCTTCAAGTTTTTAATTACGTGAAGCTGATTATTGGGATCTCTCATATGAACTTAAAAAAAGAAAAAAACACTTGAAATTAATTCTACACAAAGGATAACAAGCCAACGATTATAATAACAATTAAAAAGAAAAAAACTGGGTTAATGATTTACAAAGGATGCTCAATTTGGAAACCAGACATTCCATGTGTGACAGTCTTCCAAAATACAACTGACTTATAGTGTGCTGCAGTCCACAGGGTACCAAAGAGTTGGACAGGACTTAGCAACTGAACAACAACATTCCATTACACACCAAAGGGCTAGCTAGACAGTCTAACCTTCCTCTCCGGTAACGCTACTGCTCACAGCTACTCTACCATAGGTCTTTTCCTTTCTCTTACCTTTGGAATTGCCAGGGAGGACTTCTCAGGTGGCTAGTGGTAAAGAACCCACTAGCAGGTAAAGAACTCCTGACAATGCAGGAGACATGAGAGATGTGGGTTCAATCCTGGGTCGGGAAGATCCCCCTGGAGGAGGGCATGGCAACCCACTCCAGTGTTCATGCCTGGAGAATCCCCATAGACAGAGCAGCCTGGCGGGCAACAGTCTCTAGGGTCACTGCTAACTGCTAAGTCACTTCAGTCGTGTCTGACTCTGTGCGACCCCATCCCTGGGATTCTCCAGGCAAGAACACTGGAGTGGGTTGCTATTTCCTTCTCCAATACATAAAAGTGAAAAGTGAAAGTGAAGTCGCTCAGTCATGTCTGACTCTTCACAACCCCATGGACTGCAGCCTACCAGGCTCCTCCATCCATGGGATTTTCCAGGCAAGAGTACTGGAGTGGGGTGCCATTGCTTTCTTTGCTATAGGGTCACAGCTGGACACAACTGAAGCGATTGACCACGCAGCACATAACCACCATCCATGTGGTGGTGGTGGTGGTTCAGTCGCTAAGTTGTGTCTGACTCTTTGTGACCCCCTGGACTATAGCCGGCTAGGCTCCTCTGTCCATGGGATTTTCCAGGCAAGAATACTAGCTGCTGCTGCGTCGATTCAGTCATGTCCGACTCTGTGGGACCCCACAGACAGCAGCCCCCCAGGCTACTCGGTCCCTGGGATTCTCTGGGCAAGAACACTGGAGTGGGTTGCCATTTCCTTCTCCAGGGGATCTTTCCAACCCAGAGATCAAACCCCCCATCTCCTGCTTGGCAGGCAGATTCTGTGCCATCGAGCCACCTGGGAAGCCCAACCACCGTCCATACCAGATCTCTGATTCTCACTTTACCCTAAGGCTGGTCCAGGGCAGTGTGAGATCTATGGTATCAAAACTGAAAAGAGTAAAGGGGAGAAAAGTACTGAACGCTGCACGCAGGGTTCCTCTGGTTCCCTGACAGTGATGCCTGAATTCTCAGCCCCTAGCAGGTGATGGTGTACACATATCATAATAGGAGGTATATGAGAACTCTCTATTTTCCACTCAATTCTGATGTGAATCTAATACTGCCCTAAAAAACAAAGTCTAGTAAAAAGGAAGAAAACAAAAATCAATGACCATATTCCTTCTCCCAACCTAATAAATACCTCTGGTCTCCTCCCTACTACAGGCCTTGTCTCAGTCTAGATTATTTATAACCAGGGCCCAGAGCTTCAAGGCCAGGCAAGAGGTTCTTAGGCCACTGTAGTACGACAGGGCCCATGGTGCACAGTAGGAAATGTAAGTATATTTTTTTCTCATAATCAGACAAGATGATTAGCTTCCATAGTAGCACTAGAAGCAGTCCATTATAGAGATTAAGGACCCAAATCCTGGAGTCAGACTTTACTTGAAATACTAACCCACTACTTTTAACTGGGTTATCCTAAACAACTTTTAACCTTTTCAATGCTTCCTTTTTTTTCTTCACCTGTAACATATGAAGAAAATAACCTACTTCACAGGGTTATTTTAAGATTTAGATGAGATATTGTTAGAAGACATAGTAAGTATAAAGCACTCAGCACAGGCCTAACACATGAGTAGGTAGTTAGGATGGTGGCAGCACATATAATATCCTCTATTTCAAGTATGTCATGAATCATCATATACCAATACAGGGCAATTCTTAGAAAACTGACTTTGCATACCTACCCACTAAAAAAATGACATTTTCCCCTAATAGGAAATGCTGTATAATAAACATTTAAGTTCAGGTCCGCCTATGTTTTAAATAAAGTTACATCCATTAAAACTGTCTTCCTAAATTTCCAAATGTGTTCTCTCAGCTGATGTTAAATTTTCAATTAAAATATATAAGACAAAAAGCTTTTAAAAATACTACATATGACATGAGTATGTGTACTTGTAAAACTAAATATATGTACAGGAAGTATACACACAAATTCCATTGTAATGATTACCTATGGTAAAAGCAGGAAAGAAATGGGACTAAGGGTAAAAGGTGAATTCATCTTCGTTTCTTAAAGCAAAGAAAAAGCTACAAAGCAAATATGACAAGATTCGCTGGCTCTACGTAGTAGGGAGCTATATGCTTCTTGCATTCTCTGCATTCATCTCTAATTGCTCATTTTCTAAATGATTTAAATAAACATACTCAAGCTTCCTAATTAAACTTCTCAGGTGGTCTATGAAATAGAGAAACCAAAAAACATCAAAATACTATGATACATTTCTGATATTTTTAGGATACAAGCAGTTTCCTTGAAGTTGATCCATAACTGTCAAATAACATAAGCAACCATTATGTATATTAAACCTCTCTCAAAATTTTAAATTGACTCTGGTATTCTTAAGTGTTAACACAAAAAAATTTATTCTACTAAGAGTTGTGTCCTATATTCGGAATGGGTCATTAGTTGTTGGGTAATCTTATCAATAAACCAGAAATGAGTCAATGTGTGGCAGCCAGCCTCTGAAACGGCACCTGATGATCCCGGTATCTCCCAGTACATGCTCTCCCACATCCCAGGATGGATATGTGTGACCAATGTTCCTGTTGTTTAGTCGCTAAGTCATGTCTGACTCTTTTGGGACCCCATGGACTGTAGCCTACCAGGCTCTGCAGCCCATGGGATTTTTCAGGCAAGAATATTGGAGTGGGTTGCCATTTCCTTCTCCAGAGGATCTTCCTGACCCAGGAATCGAATCCACGTTTCCTGCACTGCAGGTGGATAAGTTACTACAACCACCTTGGAAGCCCATGTATGACCACTGGAACACAGCAAAAACTACTCTGATAAGGTTTTAAGAGTATGGCTCCCATCTTGGGTTCTCTCTCTCATCACTCCCTCTAGGAGAAACTTACTGCCAGGTCATAGGGACACTCAAGGAACCTCTGGAGAGGCCCATATGGCAGAGAACTGGGGTCTCAGGCCAACACCCAGTGAAGAAGGGAAACGACAACTGTAGGAGTGAGCCTGCAAGTGGATCCTCCAGCCCGAGATGACCACAGCCCCTGCGTTCAGCTCCAGGGCAACCTCAAGAGACAATAGTCCAGCTAAGCCACTCCCCGACCCCTGAGAAACTGAGAGATACAGGATGCTTTGGGGGCTTCCCTGGTGGCTCAGTGGTAAAGAATCTGCCTGCCAGTGCAAGAGACACGGGTTCGATCCCTAATCCAGGAAGATCTCACGTGCCACAGAGTAGCTGCGCTGGTGTGCCACAACTGTTGAGCGTGTGCCCGAGAGCCCAGGAGCCACGACTATTGAAGCCTGCGCTGGAACAGCAGTAGCCCCCAGCCACAACTAGAGAAAAGCCCGCACGGCAACCAAGACCCACCACAGCCAAAAATAAGTAAATAAAATTAATTTTTAAAAACACTTTGTTTTAAGGTGCTAAATTTCAGGGCAATTTATTACATAACAATTGATGAGTAATACACTGGCGTAGCACAAAATCAGCTTAATAAAGAGAAAGGCAAGAATTAAAAATGATTGACAGAAGCTCTTAATTCATGCATAAAAAAACCCAAAAGCTTCAAAATTAAATAATTAAGGCTGCATTGAGATTATAACGTCACAAAAGGTGACTTTATATAGCATATAACACCTCAATTTCAGGGTGAAATTCAGCTCCACCACTGCCTTACTTTTATAGACTGCCGCATATAGCTCCTTGAAGCAACATTCCCCAGTATGTGCTGCCCACAGACTACTGGCTGCTCAAGACAAATGTTTCTAAAAACTCAACTTCATGTTCAAATAAATTTGGGAAACTAGATTACACTTTTAAAAGGTCTCTTGACAGTAGGTGTTCCCAGAGCTCTTAATACACTAAATGACACTAATTCTCCCAAATACATGCTTTTTAAGCAAACTTACTTGACCACAAAATTTTTTCAGGAAACATACATAACTGGTGTTCTACAGAATGTATTTTGAAAAATAATATCTTTTAACTTTATGCAACACATAAAACTTTACTGTATTAAAAAATAAAACCTCAGTTGCTTACGAACCACACAACTCCCCCAAACTCCATGCCCTTGCTCAAGAAATCTTTTAACTATCACATACCCACGAGATAAGGAAATCAAAAATTCCTTTCCAAGAATTCAACATCCTTCCTTATCTAGGCCTTTTCCCTTACTATCCGGTACTGAAAAGGGAGTTTTCCCACTGTTCCCCAACCACTCAGTTATCATTTCTACCTTAGTCCATACCATTCTAACCTCATTTCTGTTCTCAAAAGGGAACGCTCATCCTCTTCCAGTCCACCACCATCTACCTATTCAAGTCCATCTCATTATACTCCATCCCTAAATCTTCTGCAGTCTACACAAGGATAAGAGTAAAGATTTCAGCCTCTATTCACTGCACTGTCCAGTACAGAAGGCAACAGGCACAAGTGTCTACCAAGCACTTCAAATATATCTAGTCCAAACTTAGGTGTTGATATAAGTGTAAGATGCACACCAACTTTCAAAGACTTAGCAATAAAAAACGAATGCAAAATCTCATTAAGTTTTTTTATACGTATTATGTTGAAATGACAAGTTTGAAAATATTGGATTAAGTAAAATATTATTTAATCTCCTTTACCAATTTCTTTTTATCTTTTTACAATGTGACTACAAAGCAACTTCAAGTTATGCATGTGAGTCACATTGTTACTACTGAAAGGTACTGCTCCTGCCTGTGAATAAGTAATTCTAAACACTGCCAGGAGATAAGATGATTTGACTAAGAACACCTTGTCTTGAATCACACTGTCTGTTTTTAAATCTTTCCCACCTGTCTAAGACTGACCAAGTTAGTATCTATATGCCTGGATGTCCTCAAATTTAAAATGGTGTTAACAGTACCTCTCTCATAGGACTCAAGACGGACTAAAAGAGAAACGCTAAGTACATATATCAGTTAGTGTTACTAGTCTTTATTAACAGAGCAGGATAAATCCATGGCTAATTCATTTCAATGTATGACAAAAACCACTGCAATGATGTAAAGTAATTAGCCTCCAACTAATAAAAATAAATGAAAAAAAATAAAAATAAAAATAACAGAGCAGGAAACAGCACTCCAATCATAGGCAAACTTGCTCCCCTGTTTTGTTTTTTAAGAATTTAAGAATGTAGAGCACTATGTCATTTTTGTTGAGTTAATAAAAAATACTGCAGGAAATGAGATGGGTGGCTAAGGTACAGGCTGAAGGAAATTCAAGAGTTCTCAACCTGTTTTATTTTGGATAACTCCTTGTCTCTTTTAAATACAAAAGTGAACTTATAATGGAAGTATTCTCCCAAAGAATACACACGTGAGGCCTGTAAATACATAAAACTTATGGCACAGCATTTGTGTGTGTGAAGAACTCATCATAACCAAATAAACATCATGGTCGTTGTCTTGACAACCTTTATTATAGAACCTTTTTAAAGTCTTTAACAAAAAATCTTACCCATATTTTTCAATGTTCTGTTTGTAAAGTACAGGTAAAGATATTGATTAAACCACACTAGACAACTATTACGCTTACTTTTCCCTAATAAAGAATCTAAAGCTGGAGAAAACAGGCAACTCTTCAATAAAAGATATTTCTCCTGTTGATTAAACTTTTACCCGGAAAAAAAAAAACCCCACAAACTTCTGGACTTTTCCATCCCTATAAATCTATATAACTGCAACTAACTCAATTGAATTATTATAACTACAATTTGTCCTTATTTCCTCATCCATCAGGCAAAAAAAAAGGCTGTTGCAAGTTTCACGACTTTTATAATACTTTTTATTTGCTTGAGGGGTAAAGTAAAATTCTGGATACCTAGAGAGATGTTTTCAAAAGAAAAAAAGTAAAGTAAACTGAAGTCTTGAAAGGGATACGCCTCACTGCTAAACAATATAATACTTAAGGCAACTTTGAAAACCCAGTTTAACTCCCAGGGGAAGACGATTCGTCTTCTTTACTAAGACCTCACTGGTCTAACAGCGAGCATCTTCTAAGGCTGACCTGCCTTGCAACTTCCTAATTCCCTCCCTACGGCCCTTGAGAACAGGCTCAATGCCCTTCTCCGCGGCTCACGTTTTTCTTTAACTGCCCAACATTCTGGTTTGTCCGGGAAGTGCCCGAAAAACTGGAGGTCAGAACCATGCTGCTGTCTTGACCATCTCTTCTACGGAACCTCCTCCTACGGCCACTAAAGACACCGCGGGGCCCCAGCCCGACGCCACTCTCCCGGCTCCGAGATGTAAACACCGCCCTTCTCTTCCCCGCCCGCTCCCGACTTCCCTCTCCCGGCCCCGGCTTTGCGGGAGCTCAGTGCAAAGGGGAGACCACATACCCTCGGAAGTGAGGCGAGAAAAGGGCTTAAGCAACTCCGCGAAGCTAAGGTGATTGAGACGAGTAAGCCGCTCGGCTTCGTCGCTACACAGCGCGGCCACACAGGGGACGAAGGAGTCCGGGATGAGCTCCTGCACTGATTGTACACACTGGGCCATCACCGCGGCAGAGGCAGCGGCGGCGTCCGCCCTCCGGCCCACCCTCGGAGGCTGATCCTGCGGCTGCAGCAGCTACCGCCGCCGCCCGCCGGCCTGGCCCGGCCGGGAGGGGCCGGGCGCTGAAGCTTTGAGACCAATAGAACGAACAGACGCTGCCGCCTTGGCTCCCGGAGCACCCGCCACCGACCCCTCCCCGTCACCGCCGCTCTTCAGCGCTCGCCCCGGCGTCCTCGCATTCCACCCTGATAGGTGGAGACGCCGGCAGTCGCCAGTTAGTCCTCTCGACAGCAAAGCCTTGGTCACTGCCGGACTGGGACCGCCATATTGAGGCCGAACCCTGACCCACCGGCGTACTTATCCCGGCAGCCCCCGCGCTCGCCCCTCACGTGACAGTGTTAAAGTCGATAGGGGCGGGAGAAGAGAGCCTGGAAGAGGGAAAGAGGCAGGTCGGCCGGCTGATGCCGGAAGTGCGATAGGTGGACCTCCTGTTGGGCGGGTCTGGGGCGGGTCTACGAGTGTGGTGAGCGGAGCCAGGCGGGGAGCCGCGCGATGTTCGGCCTGGTTCTCTCAGCGCGTAGAAGAACAGCTAGGTGTGACGAGGGAGTGGATAGGATGACGCTGGTGGTCGGTGCTGTCACAGTGGGGGAGGTGCCCATTGGCCTTCCACGCCGACTTGGTCCTCCCTGGGAACAGTGGACAAACCTTGTGTGGCTGTTCTCGCAACTTCCGGCCGGCTCGCCCCGCCCTTCCCACGCTTCTGGTGGAATGATTGGGGCACCTGCTCACCGTAGAGAGCTAGCTGCCGGCCGGATTCTTGGAGGTTTCTCTGGTGCCGGCTTAAATCGCCTACGTACCGTTTGAACACAACCATGCTTTTAGAAAGGGCTGCTACGAAGGTGGACTCAACCAGCGGGCATAAATATGTGCCGTTGTGGCACATAAATATGTGGCAGTTAACCCGAGTGTAAGAGAAACTCCTGCGTTTTCGTTGGTCTCAGGGAAAGCCTTGGCCCCCGACCCCTTCATCCTCGGGCGCTTCCTTTTCACACTCTGCTGGAGAAATTACTTCCTAGGGATGGGGGTGTGGGAAGCCAGTAATCATGTACCGAATGAAGACCTGATTTGGCTTCCTCTCTTCCTAGCTTTCATTTTTGTAGATTTTTCTTCTAAACGTGTATAAGTGAATGAAAGGAATTTTACTAAAATATTCAACTGATTGGACTTATTCTGAATTGTATGTCAAAAATACAAGACTGGGAAAAATGGAACGCCGTATCGTGGCTTTATGGTCCTTGGTTTAAAGGAGGCTTCTCCAAGCAAGGGGTCTTCCCTGATGGCTTAATGGGTGAAGAATCCACCTGCAATGCAGGAGACGCAGGAGACCGGTTGGACAGAGGATGCTGGCAGGCTACAGTCCATGGGGTCGCAAAGAGTCAGACGTGACTGAGTGACTAAGCACATTCCCCAAACAAGAGTATCTCAAACTGTCGGATTGTTTGGCACCCTGAAGTTTCCACCATGGTTAGAATTCATGACAGGTGAGTATGCCTTTCTCCTATAAATTGAAAAATGGGAGGTAGGAAAGGGCAATAGGACTTAATGACATGGCAGCTGAGCCACAGATCAGTCTAGAAACGATAACACGTGCAAGTTGAGGATCTGGAAATTCATTGCCTTAAAACCATCTGTGCCTGAGAACCTCTTGGAAAGTCGTCTTTTATCCCCAGGAGTATACATACTCCCTTGTGAATACCTTTGATATGTCCCTTACGCTTTATAATGTGAGAATCTTATGTAATTGCGGGTGATTCAAGTTACACATTTTTTGTGACCGGGCGCCTCAGTGCAAGTATGCTACTTTAGTTCTCAACTCAGAAGTTAAAAAGGCAACTTGTTTTTTACATTGGAGGTAAACTAACTGTATTAGACTCTGGGAGAAGGACTCTCAAGTGTAATTTACTCTAAATGGATATTTGGAGATAGACTTCACATATCATAAAATTCATTCCTTTAAAGTGTACAGATCGGTGGTTTTTACTGTATTCAGAAAGGTGCACAATCATTACTAGTAATCCTAGAACACTTTAATCACCCCCCAAAGAAGCCTGGTGCCCACTAGCAGTCACTCTGTACCCCAATACCGCTCTAAAGTGAAGTCACTCAGTTGTGAGCGACTCTGCGACCCTGTGGACTGTAGCCTGCCAGGCGCTTCCAGCCATGGGATTTTTCCAGGCAAGAATACTGGAGTGGGTTGCCATTTCCTTCTACAAGGGATCTTCCCAACCCAGGAATTGAACCTGGGCCTCCCACATTGCAGGCTGACTGCTTACAGTCTGAGCTACCAGAGAAGTCCCTAGAGCACCCCTGTAGCCCCTGGCAATCACTCATCTACTTTCTGTGTCTGTAGATTTACCTATTCTGAACATTTCACATAAATTGAATCATACAATACATGGCCTTCAGTGTCTGATTTCTTTCACTTGGAGTAATGTTCAAGGCTCATCCATAAGGTAGCATGAATTAGTATGTCATTCCTCTTTATGTCTAAGCGTAAGTGGATTGTTAGCTTATGCATTGAATTTACTATCTAACACCACATGCACACAGTTTCCAGTGAGTGACTGCACTGTTAAAAATCTGTTTCCTAGTCTATCCTAAACTACCTCACTTGTTCATCTTCTAAGGTATTTTCTTTCTCTATAGATTAAACCTGAGTCACTGCCATATTTGCATTTCAGTCTACAGGAATGGGGGAAAGAGAAGGGAAAAGTAAACGACTAATGGTTTCAGATCAAATTTAAAAATGGCATCCAGCAATTTCACTGTCATATCACTGGCTCTAGTGTCTCCAGAGAAGACTAGAAAGTATAGGCTTGAGAGTTCTGTTGCTAAATGAAGAGAATGAAAGTGGGATGACAGGGCAAGGTTCTCCTGCCTACTTTATTAGGAATGAGGTACCCCACAAGATGTATTTGCCTGAATTCTAAGATATCACACGTCTCATTTCTCTGACTTCTCTGGACATTGACCCTTTTTACATCCCTTGTCCTCTGAACCATTTACTCTACAGAACCCTCAAGGAAAAGAGGATAATAAGATCTATCACTAAAAGAGAGGAAGCTTGCTGGGCCAAATGATAACACAAACAACTAAGGATCTCTTTTCCAAGTATTGAAGATGAGACCCAACTTCCTAGACTCCCCAAATCAAAGAATCCCATAAAACATGCTATGCCAGTAGGCTTATATTTTGAAATACTGTTTTATTAAATGCCCGTGAATTATTTTGCATGTAAAATAATGCCAGTCTCTTCTGATATCTGCTGTGGTCAAAAACATGGACACTGAAATCAGAGAGGCCTGGACTTGAAGGTAGCTCCACCACTCGTGCAGAAAAGTCATACCACCATTGTCGATCACCATACATCAAGCATGGCACTTTACGTGTACTGATACTTCTTCTTACACAAACCCTGAGAAGCACATGGGTAGCCAGTTACCACGTATAGCTCCTAAAGCACAGAGAAGTTAATTAACTTGCCCCAAGATAACACTGGAGCAGAACCAGCTCGGTTCTTAACCCCAGAGACTTGATTGCTAGGATAAATTGCTTTTCCATGTGTTTCCTTACTTTGAAAGCACCTACAGAAATTTTAACTTGCAATAGCTTGCAATACAGTTTTAGCAGTAAATCTGTGACTTTTAACAAGTTAAGTGTCTTTTCTGCGCCTCACATTCTTTATCTGTGAGCTTATGAAGCTGGGACTAGATGATTTCTTGTATTCATTCCAATGTGAAGATCTTTTCACTATTATTAAATTCCACTGTATTAACAGTAGATGGTGCTATTGAGTATTGGCTTCAAAAGCCAATTAAAAAACTGGTTCTAATTAGCCACTAAAACAATTCCTGAATACATGGATCTCACATGCGAGATAACTGGAGGTCCAGGGATGCTAAGAAAAGTGGTGCATTAAAAGTTTCCTAGCTTTTGTGGAGTCTAAAAAAAATGGATGTATAACAAAAACAGACTCAGACATAGAAAACACACGGCTATCAAGGTGGGGAAAAGGAGGAATATTAGGAGTATGGGGCTAACAGATACAAACTGCTCTATGTAAAACAGATAAGCAACAAAGATTTACTGTATACATAAGGAGTTATACCCAATATTTTGTAATAACTTATAAAGAAATATAATCTGCAAAATCCTGAATCACTATGTTGTATACCTGAAACTAACACAATATTAAAGATACTTTTTTAAAACATTTCTTAAAGATTTTTATGCTAGGATACTTTCAAACACTAAAAAAAGAAAGGTTTAAATATATAATCCTCATATTGGCCCACACTTGTTATCTTATTTACTGTACTGGATGTTTTAAGTCAGCTTATTATCATTAACATTCTGACTAAAACAGATGGCATCCATTTCCTGGTTATTTTAATGATGAATCATAGCCACGGTATTGCTCATAATTCTATTTTATACTTATTATAGGTATTTAAGCCCCATATAAATCCTCCTTTAATTTAATCTGCAGCAAGTAAAACTCTTTTATACATATTTTTTCCTTTAGGCTTTTAAGATAGGGAATAATATTAGTACTTGGTTTTAAATCATGTGTAAATACTTCCAAAAGCAACTGGATTTGGATAAGAAAAATATAAGTGAGGGAAGCAGTGGGTGGGGATGTTGAAGGTCTCAACTTCAAACAATTCTATAAACATTAATCCTCAAGATTTAGGGTAAAAATTTGCATGCTATGTTATAGATTGGTTGCATAGACCCATGACTTTCTATTTAGGAAAAATCACAGTATCATTTTAAATGTGAAGAAACAATCTTAGAGATATAATTTCCCCAAGGTCATATGCTTAGTTAAGCACAGAGATGGAAAAAGCTTGCCAGTTTCCTGACTTTCAGTCTCAAACATGTTTCATTATACTTCCCCAGTTTATATATTAACTAAAAGATTTTTACTTATTTGCCCTTCCTTATTTCAGAAATCATTTAATGCAACAGATACTGTTTTATACATCTTTGTAAGTGCTTTTAATTTCAACGCATCAAAATGATTTTACATAAAAATAAAAGGAATAGTTACAGCCTGCTAAGCAGTTCCCAAAAGCCATGTGTGAATACTTGTTAGCTAACTTGCATGTTAAAAAAAAATATTTGCAGTTTGAAAGAAATTAAAGACCTGAACACATGAAATGATATGTTCATGGATCAAAAGACTTAGTATTAAGATATCAACACTCCTCGAATTGTTCTATAGATTCATATCAAATTACCAACTGACCTCTTTATGGGAATTGGCAAGCTGATGGTAAAGTATGTCAAAATTCAAGGGAGCTAGAATAGCCAAAATAATCTTTAAAAAACAAAGTTGAAGGACTCAAACCAGCTAATTACAAACTTAGCGCAAAGCTACAGTAACCAAGACTGTATGATAATAGGCATAAGAATAGACATATAGATCAATGGAATAGAAATGAGAGTCCCAGAATAAGCCCTCATGTTTAAGGTGATTGATTTTCTTGAAGGGTACCAAGACAATTAAAGGAAAATAAAATAGTCTTTTCAACAAATGGTGCTGGGTCAACTGGTTATCTACATGCAAAAGAATGAAGTTGGACCCCCACGTCACACCATATACACAAAAATTAACTCAAAGACCTAAATGTAAGATCTAAAATGATAAAACCAATAGAAGAAAACATAGGCATGAATCTTCATAACCTGGAATTAGGCAATGGTTGCTTAGATTTAACAGCAAAAGCAGAAGAAACAACTACAAAAAGAGACTAACTGAACATCACCAAATTTTAAAAACTGTGCTTCAAAGGACACTG